TATAGAAGTAAATCATTATTTTGTTTAGTTAAACCATATTGAAGACCTGAACTTATACTTTAATAGATACAGTGCAGTCATAAAACGGTGTAGGCCTATGCGAGCATGTTGATTGCAATTAAAGAAATGTTGTTCTTCGTAACGAGCAATTCGTGATGATAAGGGCGGATCCAGGGGCCAAAAGGGGCCATCCCAAAAAAAACCGAAACCATTTTTGTTTTTATGTGACGTCGTAATAAAGGCAGGCAATGAGTACACCACCATCTTTTCCTCAAAAAACATCGGTTAAAATGGTCAGAAATTGCCTCAAATCGCACCACAGAGCATCTCGAATCCAACAATTTTCAGGGCCCTGGGGGTCCTTATTCACAAAGCACCCGTAAATGCTTGCGGGCGCGCAACTTCCCCACAACCCTCACTTAAGCACTTGCGCGTTATTCACGAAGCCCCCTTAAATCTGCGTGTGCCCGTAAACCACCCTTAAATTTGCGGGACCTCCAGACGTCCCGCAAGCACACCACAACTTGCGTGGATCATCTCGATTGTCACAATGGCGGCACTCTTGGCATGTATTTTGGATCTACGAACTGAATCGACGTGCCGGTTCATCTTCCGTGACCGGATGAACCAACTATAGGATGAGTTAAAAAGAAAGTGACCGAATTTGAAAAATGTGTTCAAAATATTTGGCGCGTTCCATTTTCATGGGCGTAAATCGATGGGAGACAAGTCCTCCCCCCAGTTTTTTTTTTTTAGTGGCGGATATCATATCGTTGCCCCCCCCCACACACACACTTTTCTATCCCCGAATAAAAATTGTAGCCTACATAATGATTCTATAGTAGCTGATTCAATGACTCCAAACTCAAAAAATGATGTTTAAAGGATTATCTTTTGCTCACAAAAGTGGTTTGAGTGCTCAGAAATTGCCTCAGATCGCACCACAGAGCAAGCATCTAGAATCCAAAAAATTTCGGGGCCCGCTCCATGCCGTAATAGGTATGTCCTCCACTTTTGGGAAGCGACTGCCGCCCTTTTTTATGGGACGAAGTACATCTTATGGGATTTTAAGTGTGAACATTTCACTTAAATTGCACAGTCTAATCCTAAGTTATGTCTATTTCAATAAAACGATCACAAACTTGTTTACCACTCATCACGTGATGCAAACTGAACACCCATTGAGTACAATGAAACGTGGACTTTCCCACCTCCACTGAATGAAGAGCATGGGAAAGGATACAAAAATCCCATCAATATTTTTTTTTAAAAAGAGCTAACTTGTTTCTTATATATTGAAAGCACACATTCTGACAGTGGTTTCCGTCTTGAGTTCAATTATTAAAGGGAACCTGCAAAAAAATTTGTATTACTTAAATAGATAAAAAACAGCTTTCTTGCCATGTTACTTTGACTTTCAACCTTCTTTTGTAGTAGTCAAAGGGAGAAATTTCAACATTTTAATTTTTATGCTATTGAACAGTTCGATATTCATGAGCCAAAGCGTGATGTCATTCAAAGCAGAACAAAAGTGTCTCTACAGCTTTGTGTACAAATATATATCAAACTTTTCTTTATTTTCTTGCAGTAAGTTCCACTTTTTACTTGCTTATCATGTTAAACAGCTTGTTTGGACACTAGCAGTCGAGTCGCCACTAGTTTTTTCGAAGCTTTTTTGTGGGTAACTTTGAAGGAGTTATGTTTGTACTGTTCATATGCACTTTTGACAAGGAGTTCCTTGTGCGACAAAAGCAAAATAGCGCCCATAATAGGTTTTCCCGGCCAATTTCCTAAAATGTTCATTCACTTCTGAAAATCGGTCATTCATTTTCGTCTGAATTTGAATGCACGTCTTTAATCCCATTTCAATTCAACGAAAGTTCAATCGTTTTCATTGTCCGTGCATTCGGTTTTGAGAAACAGACGGCCAAATACGTTACCTGTGCATTCATTTACGCGAGCATACCTTTTCGCGCAGAGTTCTGGAATACAATTTCGTGAATGACTTAAACATTCAAACATTAGCAGATTGCATCACATAACATTAAACTAAAAGTGAAATAAAATGACTAATTTTTGAAATCGCCCTCTAAAAGCGAAAAGGAAGTCTTGTAAACGAATCTGAATGAGCATAAACGAAATGTGCTGCTCAATCACTTAATTGATTGAATGGAAATGAAATCGAATGCTCTGATAGCGGAAATGCATGAAACGCGTGTTCAGAGCGATTCTCAAATTCAGACGAAAATGAATGACCGATTTTCAGAAGTGAATGAACATTTCAGGAAATTGGCTGGGAAAATCTATATATATGCTACCATAAACAGAGCCCCCTAACGTCATCTGGTGTGTCCAGCCTCCCCCCCCCCCCCTTTCGCCCCCGAATTTCCACAAGTGGAGGATTTGGGGTCATATCCACCCCCAATCTTCGACACGGATGTACCCCATGGCCCAAGGATGACCAAACACTAAATACTGAATTTACATGTTAACTATAAACTTCATCCCCCCCCCCCCAAAAAAGGAGAAAATGCAACTGACTTCCCTTTTTGACTCCCTGCAATTACAATGAAAATCACGAAAACACAAATTCAATGGAAAGCCTTGTCCCGAGATATAGGCCTAATTAAAGAGACAATTTTATTTACATTGATTTCGGCAATAACATCAAGTTTGATTGACACAACTGTAAAATAATTATTATTTTATATTTAAAAAAAAACAGAAAAAACTTAAAACGAACACGTGTGAATACTTTTAATCACAATCGATATAGAGAAAAGTGCAGCACTCAGAGCAAACTGCAAACCTTGGTATATTAAATAATTTTCCCTCAGAAGGACCATCAAAATACATGTATTAGCTCATAGCCAGCACTTCTCCAATTGATTAATTGTTTAGTCTTTGCAATTTGCAATCTTTCTCCTTTTTTACACAAATTTTCATAATTCAACAAGTATATTTGCAATGTGTGTTTCTATCATAAAATAATGTCGGTCTTGTGTTTCCATCACACATCTCTAAAAAATAAATCCTACTATTCAGGCCACCTTGGTAACATGCACTGCGTTTATATATAAACATGTATGTTTACCATAAACACCTGCGTGTTACTAAGGTAGTGTGAATAGGCCTAAGCCTACACAAGTTCAACCCTGCACGTCGTCCTTTCTTCTCGTAACCATAACTGTAAACCATTTCACAAAATTGTTTGTCTGGAGTTTCTGAATCTTTAATAGCCTATACAACATTTATTTTTAGCTGCACCACCCGGATCGTGAATCAAGTGCTGTCAAACCAAAAGGACATGAGTCATTCGCATTATTGTTAAACCTAAACTGCGAGGGGAATTTCAGGCGACGACTTTCTTTGATCTCATTTGCAATTGGTTAGGCCAAAAAAAAAAAAGTCTCCGGTTTCTGGTATGCGCGCGCGTCGCTGTAGCCATGCGCGTCGGCAAAATGCAAAAGGTTTTTTTTCAATGAAAGATGATGTCTCAAAACCGCCAAACTCACTGGTTTGACTGGAATCCTGCTGCTGCACATTTTAAACGTGTTTTTAGATGAGTTATGGTCGAGAATAAGCTTTATGTGGCCTCTCTGGACTCCCAATCCCATATAGGCCTAGGCCTATTTGTACTAAGTTTAGTCGGGCACCATTTGCAGTCATCAGCCGACATTTGAAGCAAAAAAGTCGGGTAAAAAAAAAAAAGCCGCGTCGCCGCACGACTTTTTGGGCAAGCTCCATACCAGAAACCGGCAACTTTTTTTGGGGGGGGGGGGGGGGCTTACATGCGATTGTATTGATGAAAGGATTTGCTAACAATTGAAAAACTACCACTTTCTTGTCACTTCCAACGAAAACAAGTATTACGATCTTGTATGTATTGTTGCGACACATAATAATGTGCAAGAGAACAAGATGAGCTGAATTTCCACTGCATGTTTCCTTTAAAGTCTTGTTGGCATTTTAAAGTTTGTCTGTAATATGATTCTCACTAAACTCAATAGCTTCCAATGACATTCAAGGACAGCTATAAAAATGGGCTACGTTTGTAACACATGCATAACTTCTGAAAGCATTGATAAATTTTTGTGATTCATTTTTTTTTCTTTAAATGAGTGGAAGAACATGCTCTTAAAGACATGCTTGATTGGTGTTGATTGTTTGCTCAGAAAACAAAGAAAAGTTAATCTTTAATCGACTCTACGAGCAAGAACTCTGAAATGGGATAAATGTCTTGGCATGTGTTTTTTTTTATGTTCAACCAATTAGTTGCGGGTGCCCGCAACATGCGGGTCCACTAAGGGAACTCTAAGGGTGCTTCGTGAATACCACTTAACGCAAGTCTTACGTGCCCTTAACATCCACTTACGGGTCCCCGCAACGCAAACATTTACGGGTGCTTTGTGAATAAGCACCCAGGTGGCCCTTAAGCGGGCCCCGAAGCCCAAGCCGTAATTTTTTGACCCCCTTTTTTTTGGGGGGGGGGGGACCAACATTTCTTTGCCCCCCCCCCCCCCAAAAAAAATGTGTTCTGGATCCGCCCTTGCGTGATAATGTGTCACTCATGTGACTATAATTAGTTCTATATCAGTGGTCATTAAATAAAACTTGGCCTTGGCCTTGGCCTTGAGGGTTAAGCCTTGGCCTTGGCCTCGAGGCTTGGGGGTCAAAGCCTTGGCCTTGGCCTTGGTCTTGAGGGTCAAAGCCTTGGCCTTGGCCTTGGCCTTGAGGGTCAAAGCCTTTGCTCCAACACTGGCAAGTACCAAAAACTTCGCGTGCGAGACTTCCTTGACCTCAAGATCCAGGATCACTTTCAAAAAAAGTATCTCCTGCAAGTATGGATACAGAATTAAAAAAACAAACAAAAAAAACAGTGGGCACATACTTGACTATATAATTCTATATTTTTGGGCTCAAGTTCACGTGATTATTGCATGGCTGTCATTATTGGCTGTCATTAATACTTCCATTATTATGCATGGCTGTCATTATTGGTTTCGTGCCAAACTTAGCTGTATAAAGGCGCGACGCGCTGTCAGATCCTTTCCATCAGCTGTGAGTGCACGTCCAGTATTCACAAGATAAAGAACTTACTGCGACTTTTGCGAGAGCTAGAGACGGTACAACCACGTACAAGTCAGGTATAGTCATATTTCATGTGTAGGGTTCTACCAGCGAATCTGGTTTGCATATATATCATTATTACGCATTTTGAGTCAGTAACTTTGAGTCGGTTCGGGTAGGTTTTACCTTATTTTTTTGTCGGGTCGGGGTCGGGTCGGTTTGAGGGAGTTAAGATCTGTTTCGGTTCGGATTCGGTTTAGGCCCCTATATCTCTAATGTTTCGGGCCGGTTTGGCCTGGTCGACCCGACCCGATGCACATCATTAATGTATACATGGGCGGAGATCTCGGGCGGGATGGGTCCCCAACTCATGTTTTTTGGGGGCGGGGAACGCCATGTCCCCCCCCCCTCCCGCCCCCCCCCCCGATAATTTATCCCAGTGCGTATAGGTTAGGCCTAACCAAGGGGCCATTCAGAATTTTCAATGTTTTAAAATTTCGACTTTTTTTCCAAATTATTTTGACCCACCCACCCACCCCTAATTTCGATTAATAAAAAACTGAACATGTACATGTACATGCACTTGCATGTACATGTACTTGAACACCATGATGTACATGTGTGTCTAGTTCAGTGACGGCGTGAAGTTGTCGGTCTGGTGACTGCTCTATGTTCCGACACCCCTATATTCCGACAACCTAGATTGTGTTACTCCCGGTTAGGGTTAGGGTGAGGGTTAGGGTTAGGGTTAGGGTTAGGGTTAGGAATAGGAATATGTGCAGTCGGAACATAGGGGTGTCGGAACATAGAGGTGTAACCGTCGGTCTTCCTCTTTTGCACTGGTGACCTTCAGTTTTCTTGTGTTTTGCCAGCTGATATGCTGTTGGGAATGACAGGTTGCAGTTTTGGAAGCCACAAAGATGACCGTGGTTTTGTCGTTTTCTGGATGAGGTGGATGACATGTGACACACGAGGTTGTGCCTGTCACGTGAGGTAGCTGAGAAAAACATTCGCTCGTACCCCCCCCCCCCCCCCCGCCCTGTTTGCAGGGCGGGGGTACGAGCGAAAGAAAACATCAGGTTTGGGCAGACATCACATCACAGGCTGCGGTCCTCGTAGTCTTGGAGTCCAGTGGTTGAATAGTCCAGTTTGTATAGCGATTGGATACACGTAGGCCTACATGACGTACATGTACAGTACACAGTGGCGTAGCCACGGGGGGGGGGGGGGGGCGGCGTAGGGGGGCGACAGCCCCCCCCCCCCCCCCAGTCGCCCCTCCCCCCCCCCACCCACTGAGATTTTGAGTTTCTAAAAAAATTATCATTGATCTACATGACGCCCCCCATGAAATGTTCCAGCCCCCAGCGCCCCCCCCCCCCCCCCCCCCCACTGAAAAATTCCTGGCTGCGCCACTGGCCCCGGTTGACCATGCACACCATGGCTCGAACTATAGTGTGATCCGGTACACTCGCTGGCCCCGTCCAGCTGTTGCTTCCCCGTCACTGTAGCGGTCCGCTCCCGCTTCAGTCCGGCCGTCTCTGCGAAGCGAAAGCTCGTACCGTGTCCACTCGGTTCAGCTAGAATTTTTGGCATACTTGGTTCCCCCAGTTAGTGTTGTGAGACTCCGACACCGGTGTTGAAACCAAGGAAAAGCCTGACGTTGGAGGAATCCCCACGAATTAAATAAACCAGTAAAGTCACTGTGTGAAAGTTCTGTTTAGATAATAATGTTGATTCTAATATAAAGTTAATGAACTCATGGGGAATGCAACAATAATTTCAGGAATGAATTGCAGGGCATCTCCGTCGCACAGCCTTTAACGTTTCACCACTTGAAACTTAGAACTGATAGGCCTAGACACATGGATTACAAGATAATAGAACTGTTCAATTGCCTCATTGATGTTCTCCGAAGTCACCGTGTTAAAATTAGAAAAAGTTTTAACTATTGAAGGTTGTGAATCTTATCTTTCAAAACTGAGGGAGGAATTATTGCAGTCATATTTATTTTATCGTCAATGTAAAATTGTGTCTTATTTCATTTTGTTCCCGGGTATTTTCTTGTTGTTTCTTTAGTGTGTGTATTTAATGTGAGTGTAGACCTATGTATGTTAACTAGGTTGTTTGTTTTTATGGTTTGCATTTTTCTCTCTGGGGCTTTAAAAATAACATCTTCATGGATTCCCAGCACAACTCCTCACAATAAGCCCAGTGTTAACAATATTTCTCGTTGTGGGTCTGAAATTGAAAATTGTCGGTTTGTGTATTATGAATATAATCAAGTAAAATTATTTATGCAGTATTTTGCCCATTTCTCTCAAAATTGCATATTGTAATATTGTACATTTTATCAATTTGCTAGAATATGTGATACCTCACCAACAAGTATCTTTTAACGAAATTCAATCAGAATATTTATCAACTTTTTAAAAAAATTTAGTTGTTGTGTTACTTGTTGGTGTCCCTGCCACACTGTACGATGGTGTAGCCGTGCGTTATGCACGTGGATTGTTTGCTTTCGTTTTGACGGGGTTTTTACTGAACAGAGTCTGGTGACTGTATATAGAAATTTCTTTGAATAAAAGTCGAATCGTTCAGTTCGTGTGCACTTGTTATGCAAAGCAGGGGCAGTGGTTCAAGGATATCTATGTCGACTTGCAGAAAGTGTGAAAGAACGCGACTTGAATTCTTTTATGTGTTCACAATACAACGACGCTGTTTAGTTATTTCACTGTGTGACACAGTGAGAAATTTTGGAATCATAATGGCGTCAGCGATACTTGCTGGGCAGTGGCGTCGCCAAGGGGGGGCCAGGGGGGGCACGTGCCCCCCCCCCTGGGAAACCTAGTGCCCCCCGAGTTCCCCCCCATCAAATGCTGGTGCCCCCCCCCCCCCCCATCCTCTGCAAAATTCTGCGCGTTGTTAAAATCATTACCTCAAAAATAGCAATTTCTGGAGATATCTTCAGATCGAATTTAGCATCAAATGTGGCACCATTTTGCATCTAGCCCATCCTCCGTATGCGAAAATTTTCCAAAGGGGAGGGGGGCACCCCCTCCCCTTAGACCCCTCCTCCAGGACGGCGATCCGTATCCACCTAAGTGCCCCCCCCCCCATCAAATGCTGGTGCCCCCCCCTGTGCCCCCCCAGACTGAAAAGTCTGGTGACGCCACTGTTGCTGGGGAGCTCTTGCGTACGACTTTCTGTAATTTGGTACTGTTGTTTCCAGGACAATTGTGTGTACGGTAACCCGACGTACCCAGATTTTTAAAGACGAAATTGCCGACCTCAAACTTGTTAGTGCCATATTTGGCAACTATATGTGCGTTATTAGTTTAATTTAACAAATGAACAGGTTAATTAAACATAGTACCATTGAAGGTATCTAAAAGTAAACATAACAGCATAGAAGACCGACAGACGAACATGAAATGTTACAAAATAAACATATTTGTCTGGATAATTTTTTAGGGCGTTACCGGCAAGTTAACACAAACTTGGTGTCAAATAGATCATGGGAGTTACTTTTCATACAAGTTTACATAAACTTTAACTGTATGACCTGCAGTGGCGTAGCCACGGGGGAGGGGGGGGGGGCGCGTGGGGGGCGACAGCCCCCCCCATGAAACCTTGTCGCCCCCCAAGTCGCCTCCCCCACTGAGATTTTGAGTTTCTTAAAAAATTATCATTGATCTACATGACGCCCCCCTCCCCATGAAATGTTCCAGCCCCCCCCCCCCAGCGGGCCCCCCCCCCCCCCCCCCCCACTGAAAAAAATCCTGGCTACGCCACTGACAGTACATACACAAAGTTGGAAAAGAAACACGCATCGCGATATCGGAACGCTTGCGCGTAGTTCAGGCAAGTCAAAAGATCTATCTTTCTTTGTTTTTTTAAATCTTTTTTCCATGGAAAGTGAATTTCGATTTTCAATTATTTAGCTTGACCCACCCCCCCACAATTTGGAAAAAAGATCGAAATTTTAAAACATTGAAAACTCTGAATGGCCCCCAAAATGAAAATAAAGTCTTGATGTATGATTTCTCAATAGTAAAAACCACAGAGAAATTGCTTGTCGGCATCGCTTTTCACTTAAATGCATATATGCGGAAAATGAGCGTAATACGACGTGCATGTATAAAATAAATATAAGTGCACATTTATTTCGTGTGTACCCCCTTGCTTTTCTAAATTCCACAGTTATGTAGCTGGTCAGGTGGACGTGGCCCCAGTCCCCCCTCCCCCTCCCCCCACCCGCCGCCAAACAAGAATTCGCTGCTCGCTGGTTGCATAGGCCACGTAGGTGAAGAAAAAAATCCTGGCAGTGCCAAACTAAAAATGTACAGAAAAGTAATTTCATTTCATTTGTGTATCTGTTGACAGTATGAAGAACCTGGTGTTGCTCTTCGTAGCCCTGGCCTCTCCGGCATTAGTATGGTGCGCATGCAGCGATTACCTGAGTGACTTACAGGACGAACCGTCAGGTCTTAGCCCTTGCCCCTGCACCGCATCACAGGCCAGAGATGATTCCGACTTCGAGGCGTCCAATTGGTTCATACGTACCTACCACCCCGGCGCTGCTTCCTGCTATAGATCGGCAAGACCGTCATCTTCGGGCTCTGTCCAACAGTGCTGTTACCGATCCAGTGGGAGTATCATTTCTAGTTTTCCTGGCGGAGGAACTGCCGATCGATACAGCCTCAATCTTAGTTTTCGGCTGCACAGGCGGTATGATGTTGTTCCATGGGACGCATGCTGCCATGGTAAGCTGTATTCGTCTGACTGTGCAACATACTTCCGATACCGCCCGATCGATGACTGCTCCGGGTAAGTGTGTAGTGAAATCCAATGCTTTCCCATGGGGCCCAGTAAAGAGAGGACAATGTGAAGAAATTACAGTTTTAGAGGTGGGAGGAAAACCCCAGAAGAATATTCTGAGGAAAACCCACGGAATCAGGTAGGGACCGAAAGCCCAATCCACACATTGGCCCAGGGACAGGAGTCGAACCCGGGTCACAGTGGTGGAAGGCGATCGAGGCAAGTACCGCTATGCCAACCTGACTCCCGTTTCGTTATGAACAACAGTCAACATGTTGGGGGGGGGGGGTGTTCTGTTAGTTCAAAATACGGGGAAATAAGTGAGGGCATTTCATTTTATAGTGCATCAATACATGATAATTGACAGAAACAACATTCTTATATATTTTTTGCTTTTTGTGTGAAGAAGTTACTTATTGTGTAATTACCTGTGACTCCTTTCCGCTACAGATATCGTGGCTAGAGTGACGACCAGACAAGACTTGTGGCTTGGTGGCTCTGTTTGCTCATCTCCACCAAAATGTGACCACTAGCTTTGGCGATTTGGCCATCTAAAATCTAAAAGTATACAATTTAAACAGTTCTTGGACTGTTGTTTCACGAAATTTGGTAACATTAAAATTTGCTTTAATGATAATGTATTAATATTATTAATACATAAACCAATTACGTCACAATAACCTCTATGTTAAAAAATCGCCATGTTGCCAATCATTTCTTGCATGTCATTATGTACTGTTACCGCAAAAAAATGTAATAAAGGATATATAATTTGTTTTTGATCTGAACATCAAAAGTGCACGTTTTATTAGCCCAAATCCTTAACTTCTTTCTTTGGGTGCACGATTAACACGTTGTCCTCAGCAAACTTATATATTGTTGTCCAATGTTACATTCTGAATGCATTTAGGATTCATTTACACAAATCGGTTTATTATTCCTTCAAGTCACAAATCACGTGAAACATCAGACGCCTAGCAAAGCAATCAACTGAACTAGAATATACCGTTTATGAACATTTGCAGTAATGTGTTCATTTTAATGCTTTTTTAAGTACTTTTTTTGCTTCGTATGTACCCAGTTTATAATGCATTTAATGTTTAATTATAGTATTCTGCTCTGCATAGATTGTAATAGAAGGCTTAAAGTACATTTGCAGCCTGTTTTTGATTATGCATGTCTGTGATATGTGATATGTTGAACAGATGTGATATGTTAAACGTTAAACATTATACTTTGACTTATTGATGATATAATTACAACACATCAGCCAATTACTTCACAATAATCGCCATGTTGCCAATAATTTCGTGCATGTTCTATTTTACCGTTACAAGGATGAGTCACGTTTTGATCGGACGAACGTTTGTTTTGAATTTTTTTAAGAACACAAGTTTTATTTTTAATAAGCAACGCAGGCAACTGAATTATAGAATGTCGTTTATGAAGAGTTTGCAGTGAAATGTTCCTTTAATTTTTTTATGCACTTTTCGCTTCGTTTAGCCAGTTTTATCAATGCTTTTAAATGCGTAGATTGTAATAGAATGCTTTTTTCTTAAAGTACATTTGCAGTCTATCTTTGATTTTGCATAATTATCTGTGAAATTATTGTTAAACATTAACATTATGTTATACTACCCGAACGACGTACCAAACTTTGGCATACGCCACCTGGAAAAAAGGGAAATTGATGTCAAATTGTGAGATAGTGAAACTTCTCCGGTTGTGACTACTAACATTGACAAAAATACGAATGTAATTTTCTCTGATTTTCCTATTAAGTTGAAACATCAAAGGTTAAAAAACCCCAAAACACGCACGAAAGACTATACCATTAAAATTTCTTAATTAAAACCGTGGCAAGTGCGTTAATCCAGTCAAATAAAAAAAAACAGTGGGCACATACTTGCCTATATAATTCTATATTTTTGGGCTCAAGTTCACGTGATTATTGCATGGCTGTCATTATTGGCTGTCATTAATACTTCCATTATTTTGCATGGCTGTCATTATTGGTTTCGTGCCAAACTTAGCTGTATAAAGGCGCGACGCGCTGTCAGATCCTTTCCATCAGCTGTGAGTGCACGTCCAGTATTCACAAGATAAAAAACTTACTGCGACTTTTGTGAGAGCTAGAGACATACAACCACGTACAAGTCAGGTAAAGTCATATTTCACGTGTAGGGTTCTACCAGCGAATCTGGTTTGCATATCATTATTACGCATTTTGAGTCAGTAACTTTGAGTCGGTACGGGTCGGTTTTACCTTATTTTTTTGGTCAGGTCGGGTCGGGTCGGTTTGAGGGAGTTAAGATCGGTTTCGGTTCGGATTCGGTTTATATCTCTAATGTTTCGGGTCGGTTTGGCCTGGTCGACCCGACCCGATGCACATCATTAATGCATACATGGGCGGAGATCTCGGGCGGGATGGGTCCCCAACTAATGTTTTTTTGGGGGGCGGGGAACGCCATGTCCCCCCCCCCTCCCGCCCCCCCCCCGATAATTTATCCCAGTGCGTATAGGTTAGGCCTAACCAAAATGAAAATAAAGTCTTGATGTATATTTCTCAATAGTAAAAACCTCAGAGAAATTGCTTGTCGGCATCGCTTTTCACTTAAATGCATATATGCGGAAAATGAGCGTAATACGACGTGCATGTATAAAATAAATATAAGTACACATTTATTTCATGTGTACCCCCTTGCTTTTCTAAATCCCACAGTTATGTAGCTGGTCAGGTGGACGTGGCCCCAGTCCCCCCCCCCCCCCCCCCCCCCCCCCCCCCCCCCCCCACCCGCCGCCCAACAAGAAATCGCTGCTCGCTGGTTGCATAAGCTACGTAGGTGAAGAAAAAAAATCTTTGCAGTGCCATACTAAAAATGTAAAGAAAAGTAATTTCATTTCATTTGTGTATTTGTTGACAGTATGAAGACCCTGGTGTTACTGTTCGTAGCCCTGGCCTCTCCGGCATTAGTGTGGTGCGCATGCAGCGATTACCTGAGTGACTTACAGGACGAACCGTCAGGTCTTAGCCCTTGCCCCTGCACCGCATCACAGGCCAGAGATGATTCCGACTTCGAGGCGTCCAATTGGTTCATAGGTACCTACCACCCCGGCGCTGATTCCTGCTACAGATCGGTAAGCCCGTCATCTTCGGGCTCTGGCCAACAGTGCTGTTACAGCAGCACTGGGCGTATCATTACTAGTTCTCCTGGCGGAGGAACTGCCGATCGATACAGCCCCAATTATAGTTTTTGGCGGCACAGGCGGTATGATGTTGTTCCATGGAACGCATGCTGCAGTGGTAAGGTGGATTCGTCTGACTGTGCGACATACTTCCGATACCGCCCGATCGATAACTGCTCCGGGTAAGTGTGTAGTGAAATCCAATGCTTTCCCATGGGGGCCCAGTAAAAAGAGGACAATGTGAAGAAATTACAGTTTTAGAGGTGGGAGGAAAACCCCAGAAGAATATTCTGAGGAAAACCCACGGAATCAGGTAGGGACCGAAAGCCCAATCCACACATTGGCCCAGGGACAGGAGTCGAACCCGGGTCAAAGTGGTGGAAGGTGATCGAGGCAAGTACCGCTATGCCAACCTGACTCCCGTTTTGTTATGAACAACAGTCAACATGTTGGGGGGTGTTCTGTTAGTTCAAAATACGGGGAAATAAGTGAGGGCATTTTATTTTATAGTGCATCAATGCATGATAATTGACAGAAACAACATTCTAATATATTTTTTTGCTTTTTGTGTGAAGAAGTTACTTATTGTGTAATTACCTGTGACTCCTTTCCGCTACAGATACAGTGGCTAGAGTGACGACCAGACAAGACTTGTGGCTTGGTGGCTCTGTTTTGCTCATCTCCACCAAAATGTGACCACTAGCTTTGGCGATTTGGCCATCTAAAATCTAAAAGTATACAATTTAAACAGTTCTTGGACTGTTGTTTCACGAAATTTGGTAACATTAAAATTTGCTTTAATGATAATGTATTAATATTATTAATACATAAACCAATTACGTAACAATAACCTCTATGTTAAAAAATCGCCATGTTGCCAATCATTTCTCGCATGTCATAGTGTACTGTTACCGCAAAAAAATGTAATAAAGGATATATAATTTGTTTTTGATCTGAACATCAAAAGTGCACGTTTTATTAGCCCAAATCCTTAACTTCTTTCTTTGGGTGCGAGATTAACACGTTGTCCTCAGCAAACTTATATATTGGTGTCCAATGTTACATTCTGAATGCATTTAGGATTCATTGACACAAATCGGTTGATTATTCCTTCAAGTCACAAATCTCGTGAAACATCAGACGACTAGCAAAGCAAGCAACTGAACTAGAATATACCGTTTATGAACATTTGCAGTAAAGTGTTCATTTTAATGCTTTTTTAAGTACTTTTTTTCCTTCGTATGTACTCAGTTTATAATGCATTTAATGTTTAATTATAGTATTCTGCTCTGCATAGATTGTAATAGAAGGCTCAAGGTACATATGCAGCCCGTTTTTGATTATGCATGTCTGTGATATGTGATATGCTGAACAGATGTGATATGTTAAACGTTAAACATTATATATACTTTGACTTATTGATGATATAATTACAACACATCAGACAATTACTTCACAATAATCGCCATGTTGCCAATAATTTCGTGCATGTTCTATTTTACTGTTACAAGGATGAGTCACGTTTTGATCGGACGAACGTTTGTTTTGAATTTTTTTAAGAACACTACAAGTTTTATTTTTAATAAGCAACGCAGGCAACTGAATTATAGAATGTCGTTTATGAAGAGTTTGCAGTGAAGTGTTCCTTTAATGTTTTTTTCATGTACTTTTTGCTTCGTTTTACCCAGTTTTATAAATGCATTTAAATGCGTAGATTGTAATAGAATGCTTTTTTTCTTAAAGTACATTTGCAGCCTATCTTTGATTTTGCACAATTATCTGTGATATTAATGTTAAACATTATAGTACCCGAACGACGTACCAAGCTTTGGCATACGCCACCTGGAAACAAGGAAAATGGATGTCAAATTGTGAGATAGTGAAACTTCTCCGGTTGTGACTACTAACATTGACAAAAATACGAATGTAATTTTCTCTGATTTTCCTATTAAGTTGAAACATCAAAGGTTAAAAACCCCAAAACACGCACGAAAGACTATACCATTAAAATGTCTTAATTAAAACAGTGGCAAGTACGTTAATCCATTCACAATGTATAGAGATCCTTTAAAATGTAGTGAACAAAATAAAGTGCGGCTGGAAATGCATATGAAGAAACTCAGCTGTAATCAATTTCTTTGGAAGATAAGTCGATTCAATGTCTTGAGAATTTATGCGTGACTTTATTCCACAACAATTCCAAATACTGGCGTATTTTGTGCACCGTGTTTAATCTGGGGATGCAAATCAACGTTTATAAACTTTGAGAAGAGAACTTAAAAGCAAAGTGCACATTAAATATACCTGTTCATGGCTGAATGAGCTGAAGACAGAACTGAATTGAATTGAAAGACTGAATTAGTGTTTATGAGACAATGTTCTTTTGCATGCCTACAATGAAATAAATGGACAACTTCAGTCATGGTTTTTGTATCTTTGTTTCTAAGGGGAAAATGACATAAGTGATTCAAGGGCGGATCCAGAACACAATTTTTTTTGGGGGGGGGGTCCAAAAAAATTTGGCCCGCACAAAGTGTGTCCAAAAAAATTACGGCGTGGGGCTCGGGCCCGCTTCCGAATTTTTATATTTTTTTATTCAAGATGCTCTGTGGTGCGATCTGAGGCAATTTCTGACCACTTTAACCAATGAGGAAAAGATGGCGGTGTACTCATTGTCTGCCTTTATTGCGAAGTCACTGAGAAAAATAAATCGATTCGTATTTTTTAATATCAAATGATCAAGAACGAGATCGACATTGTCGTTTCTATTAGTTCTTTCTTGGTTTTTTCTTTATTTGAAATGTAAGGAACTTGGAGTCGTCACTGTCACAGTTGAAGTTCGAGAAATAGAATTTGTTTATTGCTAATGAGCATTACGGGTCAATCGATTTGATATGATTTCTTGAAGTTTGTGCAAAGATTTTGCTGTACGACGTAGAACACAACAATTACGTGCCACATCGCACGTGAAGCAAGTGCCAGAAACTTCGCGTGCGAGACTTTCCTTGACCTCAAGATCCGGGATCACGTAAAAAAAAAGTGTCTCCTGCAAGGATAGATACAGAATTAAAAAAAACAAAAAACAACAACAACAGTGGGCATATACTTGCCTATAATTCTAAATGTTTGGGCTCAAGTTCACGTGATTATAGCTAATACTCGCACATGGCGGTCAACATTGGTTTCGTGCCAAACTTAGCTGTATAAAAGGCGCGACGCGCTGTCAGATCCTTTCCATCAGCTGTGAGTGCACGTCCAGAACTACTCCAGATAAAGAACTTACTGCGACTTTTGTGAGAGCTAGAGACATACAACCACGTACAAGTCAGGTAAAGTCATATTATTTTCATGTGTAGGGTTCTACCAGCGAATCTGGTTTGCATATCATTATTACGCATTTTGAGTCAGTAACATACTTTATAATAAATACTTGATTTTGCTTCGGATGATAGTATGTGGTACGTACATGATATTAAATTTGCTTTTAGTGTATTTTTCGTTTGATGCAACAAAATCTCAAGATCTTCAGTAGATTGCGTGACAACTAATCTTTCATTTTCGCTGACACATGGATACTATACCACAAAACAGATTATGTCGTTCGCTAGTTTTGCTGGTCTCGTATAATTTGCTGGCGATAAGCTCTTCCGGTATTAAAGTAGTGGCCTTCGATTTTGAGACCCTGAAAGTTGAACCTTGGTGGCGCGCTTCCGGCCCCCTCAAATAGGAAAATTTGCGTGTAAAAATCAAAATTTTGAAAACTATTTCAAGTTGGTACATTGATTTCTCATGAATATCACCCTCGAAAAATACCTTGGTAAAATTGTTACCAGCATCTCAACTTGTGGAAACTGAAAAATTGCATGACGTGTAAGAGAAATATCGTGCCAAAAAAATTACCTCTCACTTCCGAAAATCTAAAATACATGTGGACTAGCGGAACGGAGAACTCGTACAGAGATCAACAAAATCGCTGCTGGTTGCATACGTCGACAAAGTACAATCCTTGCAGTGCCCAATTACAAATCAAAGTAAAAGTAATGTTCTTTCTTATTTTCATTGTGTATTTCTATTGACAGCATGACTATGAAGAACCTGGTGTTGCTCTTCGTAGCCCTGACCTCTCCGGCATTAGTATTGTGCGCATGCAGCGATTTCCTGAGTATCTTACAGGACGAACCGTCAGGTCTTAGCCCTTGCCCCTGCACCGCATCACAGGCTAGAGGTGATTCCAACTTCGATGAGTCCAATTACGGCATCTCTACCAACCATCCCGGCGCTGCTTCCTGCTATAGATCCGCCAGCCCGTCATCTTCGGGCTCTGGCCAACAGTGCTGTTACCGATCCAGTGGGAGTATCATTGTGGGCCCACCTGGCGGAGGAACTGCCGATCGATACAGCCCGGCCAGTATCTGGAGCACTGCTCAGCATTGGCGGTATGATGTTCGTCCCTGGAATGCATGCTGCAAGGATCAGTTGAACTCAGCTAATTGCTGGACATACTACCGATACCGCCCGTCAGATAGCTGCTCCGGGTAAGTCCTTGACGGGATCCGTTTTGTATAGTCAACAAGCGGGATTCCTAAATACAGAGGAAAAGTGGGGGCATGCTTTTTATAGTGCATCAGTGCATGATAATTGAAAGAAACAACATTATTATATAACATATTTTGTTTTTCATCTGCAAAGTTACTTCTCTGGTTAACGTGCTTGCCTGTGACTCCTTTCCGCTACAGATACAGTGGCTAGAGTGAGCCAGACAAGTGTTGCACAGTGGCTGATGATATCATTTTTTTCTCATCGTCTGTCTTCAACCAAAGGACAAGCACACTTTGACAATTTGGCCATCTAAAACAATTGAAACGGTTCTTGGACTGTTGTTCCACGGAATTTTGTAACATTATAAATTTGCTTTATTGATAGTGTAATTATAATACATAAGCCAATTACATCAACCTCGATTGCCATGTTGCCCATGATTTCTTGCATGTTCTATTGTACTGTTATATATGCTATATAAACACAATCTTATATAGGATAAAACGTTTTGCTCTTGCTTTGAACTTTTTTAAGAACACGTTTTATTAGACAAGTCATGCTATCAATGCCAGAGCCTTCATTTCTTTCTAACTTGATGAGACGGTGAGCCCTTTTGTGTGAGGCTAAAAGATGTTCAATCCTTGGCAAACTTCTAAGTTCCAATGTCACATACATGTAGTTCAGAATGCATCTAGGGTTCAATTGCATACTTCGGTTTGTTCGTGAAAAGTCCGGCGATAGCAACGTTAACAACTGAACTATGCCTTATATACTTTTTGCTTCGTATTTACCCAGTTTTATAAATGCTTTTAATGCATAGAGTCTTAGAAGTACAGTTGCAGCTTATTTTTGATTTTGATATCTGTGAAATTAATGTTAAACATTAACAATATTTTTCATTACCCGAACGACGTAACGAACTTAAGCCTCCTTGGAAAAAAGGAAAAACGGAAAATCCGGTTGTGTCAATTAACATTGAAAAAATGCGAATGAAAATGTTCTCTAATAAGTTTGAGTTATTGGTTATTGAGTTGAAACATCACACATTGTTATTTAAAAACAGTGGCAAGTACGTTGATCCATTCACAGTTTATAGAGGTCCTTTTAAATAATGTAGTGAACAAAATAAAGTGCGGCTGCAAATGCATATGGAGACTCAGTTGAAGTCAATTTCTTTGGAAGATAAGTCGATTCACCGGATTCATGTGTTTTGAGAATTTATGCGTGACTTTATTCAACAGCAATTCCAAATGCTGGCGTGTTTTTTGCATCATGTTAAATCTGGAGATGCAGGTCAACGTTTACACTTTGATGTTGAAACCCAAACTGCACTAAAAAGTGGGCTGAAGCAAAGCTGAATGAAACTGAATTTGAACTGAAAAACGGAAATGAATTGCAGACTCAAGTATTGTTTACTAATGGTTTAAACACTGTACGGTTAGTCTATACACAGCTCAGTGCAGTAGCCAGCCGGGGGGGGGGGGGGTAATTAACCTCCAATATTTTGTAAGGCCCTATTGTTTCGTTTCGCATAATCCTTTCGACCAATATGAACACTTCTGATTAGGTTAGGCGCCCGCAAAGCTGATTTGACCCGCGTGTTTGGACCATGGTTCGACCCATCATATCGCGGTCGACCTTTGTTTGTGATGACCTTTGAGCGAGTGAGAAAAGCAAATGACCACATCTCATCTGCAGCCTCGACAAAACCAAACGACTCATGCAAAAAGAAACTCTACAACTATATTTTCAATCAATTGCTTTACTCTCGCAAAATTGGTGCAGTCAAACATCCGCACCCTTTGCAAGGCGTCTCCTTTCACAGTGGTAAGTGGATATACTATAGGTTTTGGTAGACAACGTGATTTGGATCCAAAAGTGAAGTACGTTTGACCATGGTTTGACATCGAGCTTATAGCTCCATGGTTTGATGGTTGGTTGACCGATGATATGACTGATTATTGATGGATTGGTTCACCATGGCAAAACGAGTGCCTCATGCATATGTATCCGTTGTTTTCTCCTTCGTCGACTTGTTGGCTTTTTTTTTATTCGACCATACTCGGATTTGACTCTTCATTGACTGAATACAAATTCTTAGTGTAACTTCTGCCCAATACATGTAGGCCTAATTGATTATCTGAATAAATTGATTCGCTAAAATTTACGGGGGAGAAGAGCAAAGTTTTCCATCAAAGCAGAAATCCAGCCTACACCTATACATATAGTGTATAAGAAAATGCACATGCAACATGCGAAACAAGCTAAATCCAGAATATTCCTTTACATAGGCCTAATGCTTCCTTCAGGATCCGGGATCACAGTATGACCCATAGCCGTCTAGATCTCCAGGCCTGTACTCGCCCCTGGACGGTGAAGGGATTTCCCCTCGAAATCCCTGCATGCAAGAGCATGGCCAGGCGCCCGCTGGGAACAATTAAGGAAATTACTGAGGCTCGATCAACTTGGCTCCTTCTCGCAAACAAACTGGTCCAGTACTAACTGCACTCTATGGACAACGCCCGCAGCCTCGCCTCCGGGGTCCTCTCCCAGCTTGCCCCATCGAAAACTATATATTACCAGCATCATTTCAGAAAAAAAAGGCTTGATTTGTTCTCATGTACAAAATACACAATTTGACAACAATACGTAGGGGCGGGTGGAGGGTGTTGACCACAAATTTGCGGGTTAGTAAAATGGCACTATTAAAATGAAGTGGACGATCACTGGACACAATCCAGCATGTGGCCCTATATAACGCTCTTTGCCGACGAAAACGATTTACGGGGGTATCACATCCCCCTTCCACTTGCACTCCACCCCCTCCTAGAGTAACTTGAGCTCTGAAACTCGATGAGCCCGCCCGAAAAGCCGAACAACTGTGAACTGTATATAGCGCCCTCTATAATTGATCAAGCAGGTAATTTGTCGCGTACCCAGACGTAGTCGTGTACTGAAGAGGGGAGATTGAAATCCTGAAACATCAGCAGAATAATTATTAAAGCAACGTGGAAATCGATATCCAGCTAGCTGCAGGGTATAATAATCCAGGGTCACTGCGTAGTTTTGTTTTTACCCGTATTTTTGTACTTTGCACGTGTTGTCTGTACTAGTACCAGTCAACACAAGTAAATACAGGTAAGTAAAATATACCTGAATGCGTTGGTTTGGTGCTGAAATGGAATCATATGTTGAATTTTATTGTTACTGTTAGCAGATTAGGCCGCCTAGCAATATCAATATGCCCCAAGGCTATTTAGTACAGCCCGTCCTGTTCGCAGCTGAGACACCCATGAACGTGGCGGTTTTGTAATCAACGTTAGCAACGGGTATATCACATGATGTAGCCCCATACAGGACTTCCTCCGTATGTTCAGTGTGTGTGTGGCCTCAATATACTCTGTGCGTGGCCAGAGGAAGCAGAAAATCAAATCAAGAGCGAAATGATCTCTCCCAAGTATTCTATGCTAACTTAGGCATAACTGCTTTTTTAATAGTCCATCTTTTTAAAAGCGCAATATTTAGTCTATATAGCTAAGAACCTGTGTTATTATTTATTATTATATTAATATAGCAAAAACGTTGAATTCATTACCTTCAGAGGTCTTTGTAATTTCGGGTTGAATTCGGACGAATTTGGGCTGCCATTATTCACAAAAGTGTCAAATCTGAAAAATCTCATTTTGGAAAGAATGTTGCATCCTGACACTGATTTATTCTTCGTATATCATCTCAATGAAGGTCAGGATCCGGGACTGAGAAACATATCCAATCTTGTTAGAAAATACTTACAAAAATCTTCTTGACTCTCCATAGACTTTGTAAACAACCGCTGAAGTGGCGTCTGGATACTACATTCTTAACCTCGTTTCTGTTCATATTTATGTCACAGATTTTTCAGGGAGTATAAAAACTTGATACAGCATGCTGTCCAGATTGTGTAGAAGCTTTCTTCAAAGCCCCTCAGTCTCATCTGCTGTGAGATCACAAAGCGGGCTGGCCATATCTTCCCAACAGGTGTTTGACAGAGAATCTCGCTATGGTGCGCATAACTATCAACCACTTCCTGTGGCCCTGAGAGAGGGCAAAGGTAATGTATGTGGGTCATTCGATAAAATTTGGGTCGGAAAGATTTCCATATACGAAGTTCACTCAACACTCTGTGTACAAACCCTATGAGAGTGGACTGAAAAATTCTAAGTGTTTTCTAAGAAAATGCTTGTATTTTCTCACTGCTCAAATTGACTTTGATGACATGAAATTGCTATCTGGGGGCTTGTTAGTCAATACAGAGGAAAATGAGTGAATTTCGCATATGGTAATCTTGCCTTAGGGTCCACTTTTTTTTATCTGTGATTTTATGTTTCTGATGCACTCCATAGTACAGTCGTCCTGTACAAAATTTGATGTAAGTCATTCTGAATGATACTTTGATGGTAAATTGCAAAGTACCAGGGTAACAGGGACAGTTAAAGTCACACATTGGCCCCTAAATTTGTAAAATGTCTCCTCAAGGGCTATTGTCTAGGTATTTACGCATTAATATGATGCCACATTTGCAGCTTTGATGCTTGCAGTTTTGAAAATTTCATAAATTCATTTTTTTTAGCTATGTCCACTTCCTCATGGAATTACCCATTAAATTTTGGTGATCCATGGACAAAAAGTGCACCTTTAAATGAAAAGTAGTGCTAACGAACCTTGAGGATCACTCTCTCTGATTTGCTTTGTAACAGGTGTATTTGTCTGGGATGTTGAAGGCAAACGCTACTATGATTTTCTGAGTGCATACAGCGCTGTTAACCAGGGCCACTGTCATCCCAAGATTGTGAGTGCACTACAGGAACAAGCCGGGGTCCTTACTCTGACGTCACGGGCATTTTATGCCGAAATCCTGGGACATTATGAGCAGTATATCACATCATTGTTTGGTTACGACAAGGTGCTGCCAATGAATACAGGTTTGTTGCTTGCAGTGTTGCAGTTGAGTCCATCACTTGTCCTCACATGTCCTGTCAAGTCCATCACAAGTCCTCACATGTCCTGACAAGTCCACCACATGTCCTTACAAGTCCATCACAAGTCCTCACATGTCCTGACAAATCCACCACATGTCAATACAAGTCCATCACAAGTCCTCACATGTCCTGACAAGTCCACAAGTCCTGATAAGTCTATCACGTCCTCCAACGTGCATCACAAGTCCTCACGTCATCACAAGTCCTCACATGTCCTGACAAGTTCACACGTTTTCACATGGCCTGATAAGTCCATCATATGTCCTCAAACATGCATCGCAAGTGCATCACAAGTCCTCAGAACTCCATCAGATGTCCTTAGATGTCCATCACAAGTATTTACAAGTCCACAAGTTCTCAAATAGTCTTACATGTCCTCACAAATCCATCACAAGTCTCATACGTGCACCACAAGTCCTCACAAGTTCATAACAAGCCCTCTCATGTCCTCACAAGTCCATTACAATTATCAAATGTCCTAACTTGTCCTCACAAGTCCATATTAGCTTGTGACAGACTTGACTGATCTTTGCTTATTGATTTTGCATGTTAGGAGTGGAGGCAGGCGAGACGGCCTGCAAGCTCGCCAGAAAGTGGGGTTACACAGTTAAAGGAGTGCCCGCCAATCAAGCCAAGATCATCTTTGCTGAGGGCAACTTCTGGGGCCGTACGCTGGCCGCTATATCAACCTCGACGGATCCCAGCAGTTACGAAGGCTTTGGGCCGTACATGCCAGGGTTTGAGGTCATACCATACAATGACCTGGCAGCGCTGGAGGTAGGGCATTGTATACACATGCAACATGATTTGGGGGAAGTATTGTGAAATTACTGGTCCCTCTTTGCGTCGAGTGGTTGTCAAAATCAGGCAACACGGAGGAAATGGTAGGGATATGGTTAGGGTTAGGGTAAGCTAATAATTATGAAATACCTTACTGAAGTAGGGTCAGGGAACCAGACTACAAGAACAGGCTTGGTTTTTCCAGCATCCATGAACGCGAAACTTAAATCATGTCAGGGACACAATATTTGCTATAAAACACTAACCCCCAAAATCCATCCATCTCTGAAAACTACAGCAAAGCAATTGTTGTATATTACCTTTGAAACAACTTATTGAAACATGCCTGTTTCTTTTTTGTCATTTCAGAAATCTTTTGAGGATCCCAACGTAGTTGCATTCATGGTAGAACCGATCCAGGGGGAGGCCGGGGTGGTAGTCCCCGACCCTGGGTATCTACCCGGTGTGCAACAGCTCTGCAGCAAGAACAATGTAAGTGTCAGCTACATGTCATTTATGCCAGGTGTATTCAGGATGGCATATATTGGGGTTGCAACAAGTATCAGTTACTGGATTAAACTATTGATGTATCGGTTATTGGGTTACATTAGTTGATTCCAATAATCTCAAAACCCCTTAAAAATCTCAAACATTCCACGGATGAAACTGTATACCTGGTGGCATGGGTGGCACAGTGTGTAAAGCGCTCACCTCTCTCCGCTGCGGCCCGGGTTCGATTCCCGGCTCGGGTCATTCGCGAGTAGAATTGTTCATTGATTCTCTTCTCTTCTGTTTTTTTCTTCTGTGGGTTCTCTTGTTTTGCTCCCTCCGCAAAAATCAACACTTTCAATCTCTGGCAGTGATCCAAGGTAAGACATGAGTCGTGTGGCGGTGCCTTTACAGGCCTTCGGCTCGATTACGTTGTAAGCTGCGTCCTTCGCAATTCAGCTACTCTTCTGCGAATAAGTGATGATTAGCCCCCAAATTTATTTACTAGTTTTTGTTTCTATCTCAGTTGAAGTGTTTGCTACCCCAACATTTGTGAAAGAATTAATTTTTAAATTGTGAAGATGTTAACTCTTTGGCCTTAGACACAAGGGGTAAAACCTTCATGGTCCTACCAAGTCCATACAAATGACGACGATAAAAACCGCGGAATATTGATCTATTTGTTCCCATTGTGTCCTTGACCTCGCAGGTCTTGTTTATTGCGGATGAAGTCCAGACTGGGCTAAGCAGGACCGGCAAGCGACTCTGTGTAGATCATGAGAATGTGAGGCCTGATATGGTACTGCTCGGCAAGGCGCTGTCAGGTGGCATTTTCCCTGTGAGTAGCTGTGCTAGTCTGCGGATTAGTTAGGGCTGTGCTGATTATACTCATCCGAACATTTGGTCATACATCAGATATTCAATCCCACACCAAATATCTGAATTGCTTTTTTTTTTTCCCTATTCAATTATGGCCAAAAAAAATAAGTCTCCGGTTTCTTGTATGGAGTTTGCCCAAAAAGTGGTGCGGCGACGCGGCTTTTTTTGTTTTTTTTTTACCTGATTTTTTTTGCCTCGAATGTCGGCTGATGACTGCAAATGGTGCCCGACTAGACTTAGTGCAAATACATTGGAGTCCAGAGAAGCCACATAAAGCTTATTCTCGATCATAACCCCATCTAAAAACACGTTAAAATTGTGCAGCAGCAGGATTCCAGTCAAAACAGTGAGTTTGGCGGTTTTGAGACATCATCTTTCATTGAAAGAAAAACCTTTTTCATTTTGCCGACGCGCATAGCTACGGCGACGCGCGCGCATACCAGAAACCGGAGACTTTTTTTTTTGGCCTATTTAATATTTATTTTTATTTATTTATTTATGTATTGATTTCTTCCCCATACTGGGTGGCCCATTCAGTCCTTTTATCAGAACTGATCTCCCATGGGTCCCATGAGCAGTATCGAGAAGATGAAAATAGAAAGGTCCTTGATTTTATTAAATAATGTATAAGTTGCAAGGTGTTATTGTTTGTCAGATAATAATAACAATAATGATAATTTAAAATTTATAATGCGCCTTTTGCATATAAATGATCAAAAGCGCATTACAGAATCAACAATAAATGTAAAGTACATCATAATAAATAGAAAGACAGAAGGATTACGGTAGAAAGTCACGTCGCCGTGCCAGTGCCCAAACCGCAGTATGGGGATACGTCTGTCTCGTCAACAGGGAGAATATATTACTTAAGCCTAACCCTGCTGACATCGGTGATATCTCGATCTTTTCCGGAGACAGACGCCTCTAACCCTACCTACGAATTAATTAAGCATCTAGCTACCGGCACAATGACGCTAGAAATGAGGACTAACACGCATTAAAACCCTTTTAAAAAAAGCCACATTTACGTTGACAGTTACTTTACCCGCATGATTGGAACATTGGCTCTAATATGCATCTAATGTTAAATATCAGCTGGTCAGCTACCTTGAAAGAATATTTTGGTGTGTAGATGTAGTTCTTAACATTTTGTTAAGGTCTTTGTCAATTTGTTAACAGGTGCGGGGCCCGCAAATCTAGATTGGCGGCCTTTCTAACATCTTGACTGGGCATGCAATTTAGGCTGGTGTATGTAAAGGTTTTTAATACATGTACAATAGGATTTGCGTATAGTTGATTCAGAATTGGGTTTTGCTCTTCACCGACATATTTTATAAAGCTGTTAAATCATATTCAGTGTTGTCCGGATTGATTGTGAGATGTCTTGGTGGTCAGGTGGTAAGACATATGCACTTGTAAACAGAGGTCGTGGGTTCGAGTCCCACCCGAGTGTTTTTTTTCTTCTCACAATCAATCGGGGGTAACACCGAGTACGCAGTGTTTATAATTTTAAAATACATGTCAAACATGTTTGGTGCGTTTCAAACATTCAACTAAATTTATAACAGCCAAGTTTGAAAAGAAGTAATGATATCTGAGCAATTATCAACAAGTTTAGTACAGCAAGTGGTCGTCGTTGTAATGCTGATTGTGTTGTGGTCTGTGCTCGTCAGGTGTCTGCGGTACTTGCTGACGATGATGTAATGCTGTCTATTAAGCCAGGCGAACATGGCTCAACGTACGGCGGCTGCCCACTGGCATGCAAGGTGGCTATAGCTTCCCTGGAGGTATGGAACAATTATTTCTTGCATGGTATTTAGTTCCCCCCCCCCCCAACCAAAAAACACAGGAACCCACACATGGAGTAGCCTCTCGAGGTGGGCGGACGTTAACCTACGTGGACCAGCTGTGTCGGGACACTGGGCTAGCCTCCGCAGCTGAGATCAGGACGGCCATGGGCGAGTGTGATGTATGGCGCGCCATTGTTGCATTTCGACAAGAGTCAACCTGACGATGATGAACGTTACACAATATATTGTCCTTCACTGGCGCCCTCCAAAGTGGTACCAAGGTTTCATCTGCTGTCCATGCACAGCGTTCATAATCACAAATTTTATAAATGTTCCAAATTAGTACGATTGTGTAAGGATTTCATCTGATTGATTTTGGTTCCATTTGTATAGGTCTTGGAGGACGAAAAATTGGCTGAACATTCGCAGCGTTTAGGGGTCATCCTCAGGGAGGAACTCAACAAACTGGATAAAGATATCGTGACGTTGGTGAGAGGCAAGGGCCTGCTTAATGCCATCGTCATACGCGACACTGAAGGTACAGATCATCCCTTCCTATTCATATACATAATGGTCCAAAAAAAATTGCAACCTCCTACTTCCAATGTCTAGGGACATAAACCATTGATATGTATGGCTAGGACATTTTGTTAGAAGGAAAATAATGTATATCGAGAACTCCTGATTCGGTTCAGTAGTGACAGTTGTGCTGACGGTTGTGACGTGTTTTTGTACTGTTTTCTGTCAGATTTTGACGCCTGGAAAGTTTGCTTAAAGCTGCGCGACAACGGACTCCTTGCCAAGCCGACCCATGGTGACATCATTCGCTTTGCTCCGCCCCTTGTCATAACTGAAGAACAGCTCCATGAATGTGTTGGCATCATCAAGAATACAATCATGTCATTCAAGTGAAAACTCCACACGCAAAATCCACTCTGTCATGTCCATCATGAAATCACCTTTAATGTCCTTATATGATTAAATATCATTGTGTGCACCTCAAAATTACATTTCGTTGAGTCTAAAATACTCCTGAAAGATTATGTTCTCTTAAAGGGAATATACAACATTTGCAAACATCGTAAATACCTTACTAGGATGTTGGTAAATGACAGTCTAAAGCATCCTGTAAAATTATGGCACCAGGTGTGAAGTCATTTTCAAGAAAATTGTATTTTTGTATACATTTCCAATGGTGGTCGGCCGACCACCGTTGGAAAAACCTAACTATTTTTCAACTACTGCTACAAATTTACCCTTTTTTCGGTCTAAATTTTGTTTGCTATTTGTTACATGTTCATTAACGGGTGCAGAGCAGCTAGACCGGTTCCCTTACCTTACAATTTTCTGGCATCTATAAATTCATCCATTTTATCTTTAGTGGAGTCAGGGAACCAGACTACTTGAACATTTTTGTTTGTCTTGGTTTTTCCAGCATTTTCGAACACAAAATTTCAAACATATCAGCGTAACAATATTTGATCTATTATACTAACCCCTCAAATAGTTCATTTCTGAAAATTACAGCAAAAGCCAATGATTTGCATTCCCTTTAAATTATGGGACGTGTGCTTACGTTTTTCTGTTTAAAAGTGTGTTGTTTGTATTCGTCTGTGTACATTGTGCTGGTCTCAGAGATCCAGCCTAGTATTCTCCTTGTACCTAACTAACTGACTGACACGCTCTCACTTGTGACTTAGCGTTGTCGTTGGCTGGTGAGGAGTGCTATTGTATAGGATTACCTGTAGTCGGCTAAATCGGCCCTATGGTTAGTTGGTGAGGAGTGCTATTGTATAGGATTACATGTAGTCGGCTAAATCGGCCCTATGGTTGTCGTTGGCTGGTGAGGAGTGCTATTGTATAGGATTACATGTAGTCGGCTAAATCGGCCCTATGGTGTACGTGCTCACATAAAGGACTTCCATCAAATAACAATTGCAATAATCCGAAATTTATGAATTATTCTGTAACTAAATATGCAGATTTCTTGGTTTGATTTGTCATTTTCAGGGCGAATTTGTAAAAAAGACTTTAAAAATTAAAACGTTTATAATGGAATTATTGATCCAATGCAATATTTGCAGTGAATTGCCATATCAGACATATTGGAAAAGGGAGCGCTATGGCTGATATAATTTTTTTTTTTGAATAATCTTTTAGGGAATTGGTGACAGTGTTAGTTAACATGGCTAGGGACGCTTTGGTTTGTCATTTACAGATATTCTTTCTTTAACATTGTACGATAACTGAAGTGATTCTTACAGAATTTCAGACTCTACTAAGAATGTTTACTTACCTAATTGTCAACATCTCTTTGAAATATTTTTATAAAATTGAGGGTGAATATTTCAGGGTATTTTGGAGGGGGAAAAGAATTTGCTGTTATACCTGTGCAGGCGTTAATCTATACGTTGGTAGAAGTCCGTTTGTGGTTGTGCTGTGTGAACTTCAAAATTTAGAGAAATTCTTTTTTTCACCCAGACATCTTATGCCTGGAAATATACCTTCATTTCTGTAATCTCAGAAGATTTAATTTACATATCTTAAATTTTTTTCCTATATTGAAATTCCTTAATTTCTTTACCTATTACAGAGGGACTTTAGTATCCTTGTTTTATTTGAAATTTCTTAAGGGAGTGCCGGTTTTTTGTTGGCAGATTTTATTTTCTTAGATATCTTGTAGTTGTGCTTTTTTCTTTTACTTTCGTGTTTAGCTTATTATCTTTTATGGTGTATTGCATAGGCTATACAATAAGCAAAACATATGCTGAAAGCTTTGTAAAGTAAACAAAAAAGCACAGGTAAAACTTATACCAGTTTAGTGAAACTTTTTACGAACATTTCTTAATATCAAAGATAAATATTGTATTTGTGCGGTTGAAGGGTTATAGGGCCTGAAGTTCTAAATGTATACACAATCGAACACCTTTATAACACAGTCCCTTGGACTTCTGCCGTGTTATAACAGGTACCTAAGCAGTAATGGAAAACAAAGAAAACTGTAGACGTGGTACCTAAAATGTTGCTTGTTACAAGGAGGATGTTGTATTACATGTAACAGTGCTCTTCTTATCAGGCTTCGACTGTAGACAGATGTAGAATACTGTATCGGATTTAACATGTTTAAAAATGACATTGACAAAGACCTTGACAGAGTGGGGAACCGTCAACATAGGGCTGGATAGCTCAGTTGGTAGAGCACTGGAACGGCAATCCGGAGATTGCAAGTTCCAGCCCCGCTCCAGTCAATTTTTCTTCGTTCTTAAAACAAAAAAAAGGTTTTAAAATGTATTCATTAATGAGACATCCTGAAGTCTGGCGTGTTAGTGAATTCCTAAGTAGACACTATGTTGTACATGTATTATTCTGGTAAAATGTCATAATCATTGGAGAAGAAATATGAACTACATGTACATGTACTTGAAAACCCGTTCTATAGGTGATGTAATTATTTATTGCACCCCCACTGAAGCTACAGACGATCTGTAAGATGATATTTAACTAAGGACAAATACAATTTATTTCGTATCGATTGCAACATTTCGAAACAATAATCATGGGAATTTTTTTTTCTTCAAAAGTTAAAGACTTGTATTCGCTGACAAATCTGGGCTATGCTGAAATTGGGTACTCTCTATCCTAATCTTTCGCCTTAAATGAAGCTGCTTTCATTTAGTTGAAAGAAGATATTTTACAAACACATTTTTGTAGCTATCCTAATGCTTCTGACACGTATAAAAAGGCTGATAGAAAACACGCTACATTGTATTGCCCGTTTTCTAGTGCAGAAATAAAATGAGCACAAATATCAGTGTTTTACATGCTGACATTTATTTCCATCGATCATTTATAGTTTTACATCCATATGAGGACCATCATGCGAGGACTGACATTTTTTCTTGACATGCCCCATAAAGTTTGCTCACGATCACCTCCGAGGACTTGGCTCAGGTCCTCGGTGTTATTGTTATGACAGGTTATCCTTTGTTCAAAGTGCTCAGTTGTAAAGAACTGAACGAGAACCGTTGTGTGGAGTATTTTAACCACGTGTTCAAAACGGTTTGGGATATAGACCGTTATCATGTTCCGGCCATCTTGATTTTTTCCCATTCAAATTAATAACCATATCGAAGTGCTATCACAAAGGGATGTCCATCGGTTCATGTTAGTCTGTTGCTGACAAAAACTTGACGAAAACCAGGGAAAAGTTTCCGGGTTTTGTTGCCTTCACCGTTGTGCTCAAAAGGGGCAGGAGGCCAGTTTGAACTCGGGTTAAGCTTTTCAAAATAACTCCCTAATTCCAAGGATTGGATTCGAAAAATTTAAAGTGAAAATCAATCTAATTAACATTCTTTGCAAAAAGGGTAACTCCAGTAATCTCGATTTCAGTCTAAAATGTCTGGTCCCCAGTTTAGTCTGTGGGAGTGAAATTTGACTCGAAAACAGTAAATTTTCACTCTGGGGAAATTACAGAGATGATGTATTGCTTCTTGAGCGTTCAGCAATTATTATGACCGTCACAGCAAATCCTAAATTATGACAATTTTGTGCTATCTCGAAGTCATATAATACAGGAGTTGTGTGTATTTCTGACTCTAACTTTCTGGAGAGCCTGCAGCTTTCCTCAAACACTCGGTTGAGTCGAAGCCGATAATTAAACCCAATTGCAGATTACCGCATGCTTGATAATTACATTTCGCACATGGCAATTTTTTTTCCAAATTGCCCCAGTGTAATCTTACTAAATATACATGTATTGTGTTACAGCTCAGCCATTGGCATTTAGTGAACAAATCTCAAAAGCAATCTACGACGTAAACTGTGTTTTTGTTTTAAGTTTTCCTCGGAAGACACTCGTCCCAGCTGGATTGATGACCAAAGCAATCGCGATGTGATACGCTTTTGACAAATTTGGTTTTAAATTATAAATGGTTTGCTTAGGGCGAGGTTAATCACGGTGTTGTTTGTCGAAAGAACAGGATGTGGACTTTGCTTAGAGCTAGGATCGTCACTCTCAAAACCATGGTGACTCGAAGAACTCAATTTTTTTGAGATTAGTTTTAATAATGAATTATTAGTTTTTAATAATGAATGATGACATCCTTGGCGATTATTGTCCACACCTGCCTGGCGGGATATAAAACAATGTTCTGAGACGGACACCTTTATTATCGGGATCTCGACAACGCAAAGGCACCCCGGGCGCTCCGTCGGGTCCTTTCAATAGTTACTGCTATGGTAAACCAAGTGGCCTGTAATTTGTGATCGGGTTATTGGCATTTGAAACAGTTCTTGAAGTTTTACTCGAGAGAAAATTAGAACTACTATAAATAGAGTGAAAACAAGTTACAGGGCCTACATGTATAGCATATATAAATCTCAGCTAGCCAGGCAACCGAACACCATTTAGTTGAAGCAAGTGATCCTAGGTAGAACGCTCAAAGGTAAGTAGACCGTACCTGTTACTAAATTTTTTTCAACAATAGTGATGTCCCTTTTCAGATAAACGTTTTCTAAAGTCATTTAGTTATATTTACATTTAAGAAAAAATCTGACTTTTTCACAGCTGGAAGTAAGCCTTGACAAAATAGTCCTATTGCTCGTTCATTTTCTTCCACTGCTGTATGATAAGTGATGGATTTGAATTATAACATTTTTAATTTTTATAAACCACAAATCAGCCGAGTATAAGCTTAAGAAATACTTCTCAGATATAAAGTCACTTCTGTACTCTATCGTTCATTTACTGTACACGCCTTAACAGCTTGCATGATTTTTCTCTATATAATCGATTTATCTTTTTATTAAATGAAAAATAACTGAAGTTTTCTTATACCTGTTTTCCCAATAAGGTTTCCTGTGTGTCTTGCTATTTTGCATTTCCTTCTTTGTTTCGGTCATGTTCACGATCCCGAGCTATTTCAAGGCTGTACCCCAACATGACTACAATAACATTTTAGAAATGACGCAACGTTTAAGTCGTTTTTTTTCCCCGTTTGTATCCTTTAGGCCTTAGTCTTTGTAGACCAGGCACGAATGCCTGAACTGCCTCAGTGTCTAGCGGGATTGATCATCGGATCATTGCTTGTTTGCAATTGGCTGGGATACCCCCACGAGAAGAGCATCTAGCATCCTGCAATGTGAATACACAAGCTAAAGAAGACATCACCGATCATTTTAGATGATCGCAAAGTTTTGTTTGACCTACGCTTCAGTGAAATTGGATATTGCTTCCCATCATCATTGCATGACACGGAGTAAAACTTAAAACCATCCGAATAACCACAACGCATTGTTTGATATTCACAAGTGGACAATCATCAGGTAGTTCTTTGTCACAACTGCCAGAAACCCTGATAACCTGCAGAATATAGGTATGGATGAACTATTCAATTTTACGAGCAGTGATTACATATTCGCAGCACACATTGGTCTTAGTATCGTTGGAACAGTTGGCAACACGCTGGTGGTCCTGACCATTATTGGCGTGAAGTTCTTACATACCTATACCAACTTCCTGATAGCTCACCAGGCAGTGGCTGATGCGCTTGTTTGCGTCTCCAATCTGATATTTCATTTCAGATATGTCCCTGTGACGCTCATCAATTCAGCTACGTGTATTTTGTTCTACCACCGGATATCATTTTATATTTTCGCTCTGGCGTCCTCCTTCTCTCTGCTTTGCTTGAACGTAGAGAGATACATCGCTATCGTGCATCCACTTCACTATCCAAACTACGTGACAAACGCCAGAGTAGCACAAGCCCTGGTTGCCATCTGGACTATTTCGCTCCTGCTTGCTCTTGTAGTAGGGCTGACATCAGTCTACTACGACGCAGAACTGAACCAGTGTGCCACTGCAGAGAGTGATGTATTCATGCAAGTCGTTCAGGTGGCCACGGGCGGGTTTGCTTTGATTGTCAACTTGGTAGGGATAGTCGTGCCGTACACGCAGATCTTGGCGAGCATCAACAGCAGCGCGCAAAGACAACGGGCTAACGGTATGGCGGTGGACGGGCTGCTACAAGCCAGACGACAAGTTATCAATGTTCTCATGTTCGTTGCGGCAGCGTACTGCATAACATGGATACCAGTAAACATAATCTACGCTTTACTGTCCTTTAATGTTATCGTTGATCCACTTTTTTACGATCTGAGTGAAGTGGTGATACTTTGTAATTCGGTGGTGAATCCATTCATCTATGCGTTCAAATACAAAGAGTTCAGGAGAGGTTTCCATAGGCTGTTCTCATGCACCGGGAGACAGGGGAGGGTTCATCCGATTCGGTATTAAATGTAATTCATGAATACCTAAGACAGTTTACCCATTTCTATTGGTCGAGAGTCCGTCACGTGGCCGGTCTTAACGGTTGATAAAACACCGGCTGGTTGGTCTTAAACACTTTTCCAGTGTCACATGAAATTTGGACTCTTATGAAATCATGGTCTCTTCTATATACCCTTTTATTGGTTGATGAACGAATTCTTACTCAGGCATGCGCAATACTACCAATGAGTCAGTATTTCATTGTCCTAAACTCACGCTACAACGACACAGCTGCGTTCTCTGACACAGCTGCGTTCTCCGACACAGCGGCGTTCCCCGACACAGCTGCCGTTCCCCGACACAGCTGCGTTGTGCGCCACATGGCTCAGTACGCGCCACGCGTGCGCCAATCTCTATAAGGAGTTCACTACTTGTGAGAGGCACATATCAAAAACATAAAGTAAACTTGCTGAACAAAATCGTTGGAAACGATGTTTTGACTCTTTGTATTTATGAATGGGAATAAATAATGTGCTTGTCCGGTATTAACACTATGTTTAAGACCGGTTTGGAGTCTAGACGCTTCGACTTGGGTCATTATCAGCGTCTAGCCTTCAAAGCCGACCAAGCGTAAATTTATTCCCTTATTATCATCCACTTTATATCATCCGTGAATAGTGTTATAAGCATTTTAGTGTTTTTAGTAATTCTGTTACCACTTCAAGGGAAAAAGGAAAAAAGAAATACGCGTCGCAGAGTGTATGGCTATATAGTAAATGTTAGTGATATAGTATATGTATATTTAGCGCTACTAAAAATAACGATTTTCGTATTCTCTCGCCAGATTGCTAGTAAGAAATAAAAAGAAGACAGTAAATTTGTATATACAACATCATCTCAAGGATGTACCAGGTAGTTCTAATTGATGTTCATTATTTTGTACTTTGATAGACCATGCTAATTGCACAAGGGTGTTAAAGGCGGCCTCGGCCTCTATTGTGAAAAAAATAATAAATACCTTTCACTGCACTAATATCGCCGCAATCAGGGCGCACTGTTACATCTTGACATTTCATCAAAGCTAAAATATGCAGAAAATCATGAAAAGAATTGCTTGGGTTGCGTATCAGTAACAAAGATGCATGCTGACGCAACGATCGAGCAACATGTTCCATAGAAACATCATACAATGCTTAATACATCTGCCAGGTTTTAGTCCAATCGGACAAATTGGTTATACATGTCTCATTTTTCATTCCTACAATAATTAACTTGCTGTCCAAAATTCAATAAATTATACACTCGTAAAATTTGGACCCTGAATCTGGGTTAAATAGATTTGACCTGACACTTTTCTTAGTCAAACTGACCCTTTTCCCGTGTAAATGTAACAATTTCGTGGTGTAAATGCAATATTTTTGGTGTGTCAAAATGACAACTTCCGAGTCAAATGGCCAGGAAAATTGACTCAGAGAAGTGTCATTTTGACCCATAAAAGCTTCAAGTCAAATCTGACACAGCATTGGATCACGTGACGTACACAGAGTGTATAACGTTAATAAAATCATCGAACGTGTGCAAGACAGCACAACAGAAAAAAAACATCTATGGTTTGAGGGGTTACATCTCTATGTTCCGACACCCCTATGTTCCGACTGCACATATTCCTATTCCTAACCCTAACCCTTACCAGTAACACAATCGTCCAAGAAACCTGTAAAATACAGGGTTGCGCCTTCAAAACTCCTCAGTTTTTTTAAAAAGATATTTCATACAAGATGAGAACTGGAAAGGTAGTCTTAAAAAGTTCTCTAAATATTTCATTATGCAAGGATGTTCAGTGTATTTTGCAAGGATGTTCAGTATATTTAGACTTTCATTGTAAACTTACACAGTTTGTAAATAAGTTTGGCACTACCCAGATAATCCCCATTTACACAGACTTCTCAGGGCCTCATTGTCAGTGTCTCGAGTGAACAGAAACTATCCAGAAAATATGTTCACATTTTTTTATTCGAGAATTTTATATTGCATTTTGTGATAATAATTATTAGCTCCATATAAGTAGGCCTTTTAGGCATATTGTATAACTTGTATTAGATGCATTCTTGGGACGAAACATTGTTTCGATTGTCAGTATTGGTGAAGGGTGCAAGTAAAAGTAAAGTAAATGCAAGTACTATAAAACGTTAAGCACTATACCAGCGTAAGAACTTTATTTTAAGCTGTCTTATTTGTATGTTATTTTGGCAGGGTGATGTTTCCCGTACAAACTATAGAGGCTCAGTCGGAAAATGCCTGATGTGAATCGTTGGAATTTACACTTTCACTTTCGCGACGGATACAACATCATGAAGTGTCATTTTGGGGGAAAAAAATGTAGACGATTATTGTGATACCAGTTGGCTATTTGGCAGAGGTATGGAAAGATGAGTACAAAGTACTAGTGACTCAATGTACAAACCTAACTGGTCTGTTCTATATCGATGTTTTTCCTCATTTAAAAATAACACGGATAATCCGAGTGAACATAAACACGGATCTGTACACGGACGTTGCGGGCTGTTCAGAACGTTTCTTGGCAACAACATCTCCCTAACTCTGTGCTGTATGGTGCCCTTCCCCCTATCTCAACCACCATCAGACAGCGTCGCCTTCGGCTAGCCGGTCACATTTATCGACATAATGAGCCAGTTAGTCAAGTTCTCCTCTGGAATCCTGAAGCTCCTCGTACGAAAAGGGGCGTCCCAACATGACCCTGAAAACATCCATCGAGCTAGAAACTGGTCTGAGTGGTCCATCTCTTTCCAACACTATGCTCAACAGGGACAGATGGGTCCAACTCATCAAGTCATCATGAAAATGAATGAATGAAGGAGGAGAAGAAGACAAATATTAATGTCAGCCGATGATATCGTTTTCAGGGTATATTCCAGTAGACTGAAGCCATCTTGTATCCATACTCATGCTTTACACCATATATATCAAGCATGCCTAATATTTAAGAATAAAAAAAATATATATATTGGTAAACATACATTCGGTTTGGCACAATGCATAGGTTGTTTTATCACGAAATACAATGCAGGCCTTTTTTGTGTTTATGATGATAACATTTTCATCAAGTCAGTCCGCGTTTTACCAGCGGGAATTGACTTCCTTGACATCTGGGACGTGAACAAGCAGAGATAACTGGGGTGGGTCTTCCTGTAAAATAATACAATGTATTCCAATTTCGGGAAGTGTAATATCATTTATGTACAACACTTCCTTAGTACTGTTTTCGTCTCTATAAAATAAAAGTTCACGAATTATTGGGGTGATTAAATAAAGTGCTGCTGGGCGTGTCCATGCAGCTTGTCGGTAGGCTGCACTTCGGCAATGATGTACTAACACTTCAAAAAAAATTTCATTGAATAAAAAAAGAAGGTGAGTGCCTAAATCTGGCCTGTTAGGCGCATCAGCAGCCGAAAGAGCAAAATTGAAAATGAATTTCGATGTATATATTCTTTAGCCTTATATATCAATAGCTGTCAAAGTGAAGATATCCTGCACTGAAAAATTGCCTGGGTTAATTTTACCCGAGCAAGGGTGAAAACTGCAAGTACGCATAATGTTGTCCTGTACCCAATTGTTTGGGTTAGAATTTCTGTTAAATTCAACCAACTTGTGGTAAAACCAGACTAAATTTTATTTGGTCTTGTGTGACCACAAGTTTTGGTCGCCAATTTAACAGAAATTCTAACCAAAGTAATTAGGTAAAGCACAATCCAAATTTTGGGTAGTTGCAGTTTTCACCATTGCTTGGGTGAAATTAACCCAGGCAATTATTCAGTGTGTGTAACTTTTCAAGCCTCGCACAAACTCTGCTCTTTAAAAAGGTTTAAAAGGTTTTGTCACCTCTAATGACCTTCGTTATGGCTTGCCAAATTGTACAATGAATGAGGAAATGAATGTTTCTGTTGTTGCGGTGCTGCTTGGATCTCGATTTCCGGTATCGAAAGTTGATATTTCAAGCCTCGTTGGCCTGATTTTGACTGATCCCTTTGCAACCACTGTATAAACAGATCTTGAAATCCAGCATCGAAACTTAAGATGCAAACTAAATAAGGAGGATAATCAAACCACTATTTACTGATGGCTCCGACAAAGACTGATACTATTGTTCTTTTCTCTAAAGCCTTACAGATAACGTAAGTAAACGGGGGGGGGGGGGGGCAGCATTTGCACTAAGTTGCCCTGTTCAAAAGTTTCTATCATGTTCAATATACTAAAAATTAACATCGCAATTATTGACCCAAACCATCTTCTTTTCCTTCCCCCTTTGCCTTCCATATTTCTGTTTTGTTTTGTATTGTTCTACAGGGAGGAGAGAGTGCCCTTGCCCTAAACCTCCAACGCGAGTCTTTTATCACCTACTTCAAGTTTTTCAATTGGATACTGTGGATGGACGAATCGATTTTACCCTAATGGGTGTTGACCGATACTCAATTACGAGAAAGGGTATTAAGCATACGTTTGCTTCGTTTACAGACATGTTGAAGGCTTACATACTACGTATTTTGTTCGTTTCTTTCGTAAGAAACTGAAAAAAAATGTAATAAATCGAAAAGAGTTTGACTTCAATTTTTGTCATTTGCGACAATGTGTTTCTTGAATGCACTACATCCCTCTCTCTTTAATGGTACCTTCTGAGGTTTAATGAATAATTTTTCAATATTGTCTTCTCTTAAATTGAGGAAATAGGATATTGATTGCGCTTTATAAAAGTCTCCAGAGTTAACCGAGCCTGAAAAGGAGCGTGATTTGTGCTTTTATGTGCATCCCACCGAATTGTGAAAACATTGTGTGTAGGCTCGCTAAATTGGAGCACATCAGAGTAAGGTATGGCTCGCGGGTTCGGTTCGTTGGTGTTCCTGTTGTGGGGTGTGCAGGCGTTTCTTACCGACACCGTAGAGTCTTCCCACTTCAGGGGCGAGGCTCTGTCTTGGAGGGCGACTGATGAACCCAACAAGGTAAGGACATTTATCAAATAATTGTGGTTATTATTCTTAATGTGTTTGTGCTCTGCTGACAAAAATCCATTTCATGGATTTTCCCTGAGACAATTATTGTGATTTTCAACAAAATGACGAGGCCTATAACTATACCGCTAGGAAAAAATAATTAACCATTTTGTTACGCGCACAGATTAGTATTTTATTTGATTGGAATTATATAAATATATGTAGAATTATATTGACACAATTGCACGATGATGTTGTTGGAGTTAGACCAGGATGTCCCAATTTAATTTGTTACTGCAGTGATGTATTTCTTACCTCAATGATGTATCATTTGAATGTTCTTAAAGGGTTCTATAACAGTAGAAATAAGCGAAAACGTTTGAACATTAATTTTCGTGCACTGCCACACCAAAAGAATGCATGAACTTTAAATGCCAAAACAGGTTTTCCGATATCGTCGTCTTTTTTGAACGGGTTCAGTGGGCCATAACCTAAAGTGTCCTCTTTATACCAATCTGAATTACTGTCACTTGTGATTTAAAGAGATCCGGGTCGTGCTATCGTACCGGAGTATCCCATAACGCCAAAGTCTAGCCAATTGTGTAGACCTGACGCATGAAAAGACTTTGATTAGAATTTTGGGCACTCAGGGACCAAGGGTGGATCCAGGGGGGGGGGGGCAAAGGGGGCCATGGCCCCCCAAAAACGAAACCAATTTTTTTTTTTATGTGACATCGCAATAAAGGCAGGCAATGAGTACACCACCATCTTTTCCTCAAAAAAACATTGGTTAAAGTGGTCAGAAATTGCCTCAGATCGCACCACAGAGCATCTAGAATCCAAACAAATTTCGGGGCCCTTAGGCGGGCCCCGAACCCCACGCCGTAAATTTTTGGACCCACTTTTTGGGGGACCAAATTTTTTTTGGCCCCCAAAAAATTGTGTTCTGGATCCGCCCTTGTCAGGGACCTGTCTGCCTGATGTCTGTCGCTCTGTCTGTGGTGTCTGCCTGTCTGTCCCCAAAAAATTGACCAAAGATATGGTGTTCCATATGTGCCATCGGCGTGGCATTTTTCGGCGTCACTTTTTCAGCTCTGGCAGGGATCATTTTGATAGATTTTATGCAAGACTTCTTGTAACACGGCCATAGCTTATTGTGCACTCGCACTTGTTTTCTTCCCAATCATAGGGCCAATCATAATTTTTTTTATTGTAAAGTGGGGACACATCTGGCATAATGACGAAACCTGCAGCAATCTGACCCCAATCTCAACTTTTAAAGCAATACAATTTCACAAAAATAGAAAGTTTGTTAATGTTCAGATGAAATTTTAGTGTGTATGTCATTGGGCGAAAAACTACATTTTCAAAAAGTTACTGGGAAAATGAGTGATTTTTTCATGAAGGGCCATATTTTAGGTCTTAAATCGGCGAATTAAAAGTTTATATACAGTACATTGTTTTTAGTAACCGTACCTCAAATTGGTATTTGCTTTTTTTGGATGACTGATACCGATACAAAATTGTATTGTTTCATTCAATTTACTCATTTTCGAGTTTCGCCCCTCCCCTGTTAAATAGTTTTAATCGCCTTCAAATAATTCGTTGATGTATTGTATCCTCTTCGAAGAATATAGAGCTTCAAGCTTTGTTTTCTAATTTTAGTGAAATACGATGACACTTAAAGCCTATGCTTTTTACAATTTGCCGTGTTTGATAAATCAAAACTGTAGCTCCTTCCGCATGAAGGGTACGGTATAATTTGGAATTTCGCTTTTAAACTGTACTGCTTAGACTACACTGTAAACAAAACCCGTAAAAACACTGTCCATTTCCCGTAGTTTTTACGGTTTATTACCGTTATTACTCGAACCGTCACAAGAAAGAACGTGCTACGTGAATTTCCCGTAAAACTTGGTGCCCCGATGCATGCTGGGATTCACAATGCTTTTGTATCTGTAACCCTTCAGAACCCCTCCCCATTCAAACCCTCACAGCCGCCTTTTGTAAAGCTGTGATTCGTATACACATCTCAGGCGCGGATCCAGGGGGGTGGGGGGGGGGGGGTCAACCCCCCCCAGCTCTGTCAATTTTTTTTTTCCCATACAAATTCCTAAAAAATAAGTCGAACCCCCCCCCCCCCTCCTGTGACACCCAAAAAAAGTTATACTGGTATAATGTTCGGCTGTTCAAAATACGGTACACCATTCTGTAATCTAGTGTTAATAATCATCGAATTTGAACGGCGCCCCCTATTTAAATATGGTACCAGGATTTTATCAGCGCTCCCCTTTTTCAGAGGCCTTAATGTCCAGAGAAAATAACCTGTCTACATTTCAGCACGCCTCCCTGAAACAAATTCTGGATCCACCTTGCTAGCCCTCCCCCCCAAAAAAAATATTTTCTCTAGAACCGCGCCTGCCCCTCCCTACCCCTGCATCCATCCCCGACGCCGCCCCACTTTGTATTCCATTACTTTACGGCAAATAACCGTGAAACCTACGGGAAATTCGTGTTGAAATTGCGGCCACCGTCATTTTAGGAAACCCGTAACTGACCGTAATTTTACGGTTTTTTGTTGGCAACCCTTTTGGCAATGCTTTTACCGTAAAATTACGGGCAAATTTTTAACAGCGTACGAATTGATACGAATTAGGAACAGACGTAATATCTTACAAATTTGTTTTTTGCAACTTATACCTCTCATGAAATATGTGTCCTCGCCCTAGAAGAGGATTTTCCTTTTAAGCAATAGGCCTATAGTGTTGCAACATGTAATTCCAAATTCAAAGTTGTCATTGACTGCAAAAGCTTTCACTGCAATTTATATGACTCTCCTGTTGTGATTATTTCTCCAACTTTTTAAATAAACAGAGCCCCGGTATTTCGTTCTACGTCTGTATTCATTTCGGACCCCCTCCAAAAATGGAATCGAAGTTGATTTGGGTTCTTTATAATATAGTTGTCGTGGGCTTATGTGTTTAGTTAATAATCCCTAAAATAAAGGCCAACCATTCTAAATTGCTCATGGGAGATGATTTTGACCATAACCATCAGCCCATCGCCTATATAATACCGCAGTCTTTACTCCATCATCGATGGGCATCTTTCTGACATTTGGTACTGCATCCTTCCGTATTGAACCAACAGTCACATCTGTTTCAGAGTTTTGATTATACCGTACGCGGAACGATTTTTTTAAGTTTTATGATCATAAGTGGGTTCTTTTTTATACTTAGATTGATATCAATTGGATGGTCGGTTTCAGCCAATCGCAATGCGACGAGTCGCACATCACTGACGGTACCCTGATTGTTGCGGCAGAGAACTTAAAGTGTCAGCAGTGCAGTCAACAACAGATATCGACCGTCGACTATCAATGCACGGACTACAGTCAGGCTGAAAATTGGCAGAGGGGAGTGGGACACACGAGGTTTACCATCGAACCAGGATTAACTGAATTTGATATCAGGTGGGTTATTGATTGATTGAATATTACTATATTGGACAGGGTCGGTAGCAAGCATTAGGTCTGCAAAAAGAGTTACCCATTCGCGACCGGAGAGCGAGACGTGAAATTTTTGACGTTACTTTTTTGAGACCGGAAAGCGAGACGTAAATGTTTGTCGTGAATACTGACGTCAATATTTGCGATTTCAGGCAAGTCGTCAATATGACGTCAATATTCGCGAAAGCCACCATAGAAAGCCCATGTAGGTACTGCAATGGTCAATACAACTGTAAATAAAATAGAGTGTTATGTGGATAACATATTTTTAATATCCTTTTTTTCCTCAGATATGCTACATGCTGTTGGATTTCTCTTCATAATGGGGGATCGAACGCGTACAGCGCTGAGGCTCACGTTGATCTGTCCCCCCACAACGGCGTCATCAACTCGTCCCCAGTTACATCATGGATGCCAGTGTCTCGCATACAGCAAGGATGCAGTGTAACGCTCAATATTCCAAGTAATATTTCGTTATCAACTCCCCCATATATGGAAGCCCGTTCGTGCCAGGTCTTGAAAGAGAAACAATGTTTTAGTATTGCGAAATAGCGCAATAAATATATTGAGAAATAACGCAATAGTACAGCGAAAACACGCAATAGAGTTGCGAAATAACGCAATGAAATGACGCAATAGTATTGCGAAATAACGCAACACGTACGTATTGCGAAATAACGTAATACTTGTGCGAATTAACGCCACGTGTACAAACTTCACCTTTTTTGCACAGTCTGGCTGTTTAGTATAACTATTCTCCGTGCTTGTAAGAGACGGGCTGAATAGAGGAACACAAATAATCGGGAGCCAATTTGTGATATAAAGTTTTAGTGAATGCAAGTTAGCTAAGATGCATTTTACCGAGATATAGAATAACAAAAGATGTAATTATTTGACACGTTTTCAGAGGGGGATCCAGATGGAGATGTAGTGCGATGTCGTTGGCCCTCCATCGAAGCTGAAAGAGGAGGCGTGACTCCGATGCCAGGCGCTTTATTGGATTCGGTGAATACACCTAGAGTCTAACTTTTGAACGCAAATAACGCGTTTTAAAAAGGCTCGATTTTTAATCGAATTCATTATGCAGGTATCTTTGTACCAAAAACAAGGCTGCAACTGTTTGAAGTATTACAGCTGCTTGTTACTCAAATTTGACTTTCAGGAAAACGAATTCCATTTGGGGGTCTAAACAGACATGAATCCCATTTTACCAACATTAAAGGTATACTACGTCCTGGAATGCGTCCAATAATTTTGGGCTACAAAACGCGTTTAAAGGAAATGAAATTAATTGGAAAGAGCATTTTAAAGTAGAATATAAACGTCCAAGCAACTATCGTTTAAAAGTTGACAATTTTTGTGTTATCTTGCGAGAGCGAATTTTGGAGGTCATTTTTTTTACTAAAAAATCAAGCTTTCTTGATGCTAGTCGTGATTCCAGTCGCACATGTCCCATTGTTGCATTGTGCGGGAAACAGCATGTACTTTGTGTACTTGTACATTATGCGTACACAGACACGCGGACGTGTCGTGACCGCACATCTACATTGAATCGTCATTGAGACGGTGGCGTAGCCATTTTTTTCGGGGGTTGAGGTGGGGGTGGGTAGGGGGAACGAGCATGTTATTAGGGTGCATACTCAAAATCATAGGCCTACCTTAGCGGCAAGGGGAGAACTTGTCCCCTAGGGCACCCTTGGCTATGCAAGTGATCGGCTGACATATATACGGACAAATAAGCTGGGGGAAACTCCTCTTCCAAGAAGGAGACTTATATTTACGCATGGAAATACGCATGTGTGTGCCACAAAATGTTTGCAGCGTCAGAAGTAAACAACCGGTTTTACGTCTTTTCTCGGGAAAAATGCGACATTAGATTAATTTCCTTTCAACCAGACCTTAGAAATAGCATAAATTTAGCCCCTCATTCATCCATTTCGGGTATCATTTCAAGGAATATGATTGTCATTTCCATCTAATCCAGAATACATGTATCGTGTCCATCAACGCAGTGTCGTCATCATTAGGATGGTATGCTATCGCTCTCGTGATCGAAGACTTCTCCACGCCAACCGCCGTCATTTCCAAGAGCAAAGTCCCACTCCAGTTCCTTGTCAACGTCTACTCGAGCAGCGATGCTTGCAATGACAAACCGGCGCTGATAAACCCCAGCCCTGACCAGGGTGCCCGCTTCGGGCTTGTGCCGGGGCAGGTGTTCAGAACGCAGATCCGGGCAAGGGCTTCCAGTGCTCAGTGAGTGTAACCCAATTGGTTTTATTTACGAGTCGGCCATATTCAATTGAAAGCGAGGTAAAATCTCAATTTTTGGAACTTGTGAAGAGAAATGCAAGCCATGACATAGCATTAATTACAAAGTAATATCAGTCCGCTCTGGTGAATGATTTAAAATCTGTGATTAAACGGTGCAGTACCTTTCCACAATAGTTGCACAATGCTTTCGCCATTGAAGGGGGCCTCGTGTGTGTACAGCGATTACCGTGCCTAGATCTGTCTATAATCTCAAGTCAATCACAATATCAATCACAAGTCAATGCCAGCCAATCTTAAGCCAGTCACAAGTCAATCACAATATCAATCACAAGTCAATGCCAGCCAATCTTTAGTCAGCAACAAGTCAATCACATGTCAGTTGCAGTGTTTGAAATAACTGTATCACATTTCAATGACGAGTAACTCACAGTTGTCATTTCCAAGTTAAATCACAAGTCAGTCACAAGTTTATCTTTAATCAATCACAAGCCAATTGAAAGTCAAGACGCATAACAAGTCAGACACAATTCAAATGCAAATTAATCAGCAGACAATCACAAGTCAAATAGCTATATTCAAGAATCAATCGTAAGTCAATCATAGGTTGATCAAAATTCCGTGACAATAAGTCAATTTGACTTTAGGCTGGACGACTTATGATTGGCTTACGGTTTACTTGTGATGACTTACAACGGTGACAAAAAATATTCACAAGTCGTTGAGAACGATGATGTGATTTTACCGGTTACATGTGGTGATGTACTTAGCGGAATGAATGAGGTCGTTCGTACATATGAACTTCAGGAACGTTTCTCAACCAATAGAATGCCACAATGTCATTTAATGTTACACCAAATCCTACCTGCCTTAAGGGAATGAATGAAAACATTTAAGTTATAAGTTAGTATAAAAAAATGGAAAACTATTACAAACAAGAAAGATCCCCAAGACTAAAGTCTTGGTATCCGGTTCCCTTTTGCAGAATAATCGAGATCGAAACGACCTCGCCCGTTGGCATGACAACATCGGCCATTTCACTGGTGCCCAGCACAATGAATGAACATTTCATCACGGCTTCTTGGACACCCTCCAATAACCAAACTGGACTTCATGTCTTCTGCTTCAATGCGTTAGACTCGGACGGGTAAGTTAAGAATTTACTTCATTTTCAAAAACTCCTGGGATTTTTTTGGTATTAAACTTCCTGAATCCTCCATCATGCACTCGGCAATGGCCGGAAATAACACACAAGTCATGGGAAGTCGGACACGATCGCACAATATGGTGAATTTGGTTTGAGAACACTTTCTTTATTCTAACGAAACTAGCGCCCCCTAGTGTGTTCCTTAGGTCAAAAAAGCTTCACAGTTGATTTTGGAATGAATCTGATTGGGATAGGGTGAATTAAAATCGGAAACACTTGTGACGCTGTATGTATGTGTAAAAAAAGAGCACATATTTGGTAACAAGTAAACGTTGTGTTTGCTTAGCTGGACAGGCTCGACTTAACAATACTTTCATGTTAAGTTCACATTTTCCAAAGTCAAATAACAGACTTTAAAAGCAAGCATTTGTATGTCGCAGCTAATGTAAATTCAACATTTGTTTTCAGGTACACGAGTGAAGTACGCTGTGTATATCTGACAGTCAGAGGTATGTTAAAAAACAATTTGAGAATAAAGTAGAGATGCAAACATGATCTGCTTTTCCACTTTGGAAAGATTCAAAACCCTTTCCCAGAGTTGGAGAGAAAAGGAATTATAACTGCACCAAAAACAGCCTGATTCGTCGCTATGTTCCGCTCATTTAAAAAAAAGGAAAAAGAGCGGATTGGCCAAAATCTAAACAATTGCCTGATATTTAGTCTGTTGCTGGTCCTCTTAGGTTGGACAAGTGCCCAATCGCCCATGGCAGCCACTTCAGCGGCGAGTGAAGGGACTACTCCCCAGTATACCCATTCGACGGCACTCTTGGGTGAGGTTCTCACCAGCCAACTTTCCACACAACGCACGACACAGTCCACTTCAATGACTGTTCGCCCACCCGTGATGATGACCCAACCACCCCCATCTCCCTCAATGGACTGCTCCGATTCTGGCATGACAGTTTTCATTCCCCGATCCATGATTGGTGAAGCCCTGGCATCTCATTTGCATTTCCTGGACTCGGCGTGCGTCGGTAGTCATCATAACGCCACCCACGTCAAGATCGCGACAACATACGACCGATGTGGGACTCTCATGGAGGTAGAGTTAGCCATGTTATATAAACAAAAGTTAATCTGGTTTACAACTGATTGAGGTATGTCCGTATGTCTTGATTGGTAAAATATTTATACCAATTTGAAAAGGCCTTTGAGAAAAAAAAGTGACTTCATCGCTTCCAGTCTTACCATAACCTCTATTTACCGTTGGAATTCCTTGTCTCCTGACAACTGGCAGATAAGAGCATACTGTCCTAAACCCACAAAAGAGATCTTTATCTTATTATTACCTTCAAATCTTATCTGATTTAAATATAGTTACCAAACCAGAATAGTTGCAACTAAAAATTGTATGGAAAGTGTGCACACGCAGCATTTGCTTTGATCCTTTCCGCAATATGTAACCCTAAGGGAAACGTCTTTTTAAAATGTTTAGATCAAGTGACGTTATTTACAAGCGCTCCAGTGTGTAGGACTTTATATGTGCACTCCCCGGTTCGTGCATATGAGTTTATGAATGTGGTGTGATTGTGCTTTTAAAACGTCTTCCCATGTTCAATTTTCATGTTTTTTTTCTGCAATTTTTGTTTTGTTTTGGTAGGTTCGAGAGAACAATGTGATGTTTTCCAACATCATCCACGATGAGGCAGTTCCTGTGCCAGGCAGTGTTATAACCCGAGACCAAGACGTCAAGATTCCAGTCCAGTGCATCATGGACTCGGAGGGGATTGCTGAACTAAGGTGGGTTATAAACCGAGACATATATACTGAGGTATTCCAGTCCATACAGCACATAATTGTCTTGGAAGCTTGGGATCGTTTAACCTGGGTGGGTTGGAGGGAACTAGGCAGAGTGTACCCGAGACCTAGCTATTGTGACTCCAATCCAGTGTATGGATTGCCGAACTAAGACCAAATCCGATATATGAGATATTGAGATTCGGGGGGGGGGGGATATTACTGTGGTTTAATCCTAGACTGAGATATTCAGAATCCTGTGACAGTATTGAAACTGTTGTCCTCTTTCCATCTTCAGTTTCCGTCCCGATATCTCCAAGATCACATTCCGCGAAGATGGCTATGGCACCTTCAACTTCTCCCTCCGCCTTTACCATAGCAACAACTATGCCAGGCCCTACCAGTCCGTTGACTACCCCGTCCACGTCGGGATGGGTAACAAGCTGTACTTCGAGGCCCGGACCTGGAGCGAACCTGGACTGCAGCTGTTTGTTCAGACGTGTCGCGCCACTCCGACCACCAACCCTGACGATTTCCATGGCTATACTTTCATCCAAGATGGGTGAGTTGATGGACTCCGTGCTTGAACAAATCAAAGTTCCCGCACGAGAATGTTAAGGTTCAGCCAATTAAGCTACAGGTTATTCTGTAAATAAGCTATATATGGATATAAATAGGTTTTGTTTTGTCCCGAGTCTTGATAAATTACTGAAACAAAACATTACTCCAAAATTGTAACTCCAAATCGTACGTATTCATCATTGTTACAGTAGCCTTACATCGATTCCTGTTTTCAATAACTAACGGTTATCGGTGTTGCGATGCGAAGTGTTTCCGTTGACTATCCTGGGATGTGAGCAAAATATGCCCGTGTATGGCTTCTATTACTCACCTCGCAACAACTGGTTGTACTTTAATTCTCTTCCAAGTGAAAGGGAGGTCAAGATGATTTTTTTTTACCAAAAGGCTTCCGAAATTATATCCAAATACGAGAACCACAACGATGAAAAATAGAGTGTATTCATTATTCACTGCAGGTGCATCAGAGACAACACTGTGGCATTGCATCCATCGCTCCACCCAGACATCGAACGTTTTGATATTGATGCCTTTGCATTTGTCGGTTCCCTACCCAAGCCTGTGGTAGGTACAATCGTTCCTTGAGCTATAGATCTCTGTGCATTAACAACAGAGGGCGCTTTGTTGCCTAGCAACGGGGGCACATGATCAACAACCCTTTATGTTTTGTTCATCTGTTTTACTTTTGAGAATACAAAGAGGGGGTGGTTGGGTATTTCATTGCACTAGTGGGCCGACTGACCTTCCAACAAAACACAGCAATTTCTATGTAAGTTCTTATTCCAGTTCCTAGTTGGTTGCTTGTCAGTTGTCCATTAAATTCTCATTCCTAAAACTTGCCAATATCCATTCCTACTTCTAAACTTGCTAGTAAACTTGCCACAGGTCTTCTAAGTTCCATTCTCTATTGTTTTCGCAAAGTGTGACAAAAGAGTGTATACTTCACACCTGTATAGGGAAAGGGGTGTGTGATTTTTGACTCGATTTGAGAACATTTCCCCTTTCTAAAGGTGTACGTTCATTGTGACATGCTCCTGTGCAACTCCAGCGATGCAGGCTCTCGGTGTGCTATTGGGTGTCAAAATGGTACCTCCGGCTCGCCACTCAGTCTGCGCAGACGCCACGCAAGATCTGCGTCTGGTTCCCGGTCTTATGCCATCACACAGGGACCCATATCAGTGGAGCAGGACGAAGGGAAAGGTAGGCAAAGGAACCTGACTTAAGTGGGTTGGTTGGGTGGGGTGGAGAAGGGTGCGTTGTGGTGGGGTGGGGATTGAATAGGGTTGGGGGAAGTGGGTGGGTTGTCGGGTAAAACATGGTGGGGGTTTTGGGTGGGGTTGGATAGGATAGATGGGGGTAGTGCGGAGTGGGGTTGGGTGTGGTGTGTTGGGATGGGGAAGGGTATGATTTTTAATGGACGTGGTTAATTAGGCAGAGTGGGGTCGTATAACTATTAGATATCGCCCTATGGCTTCGAAGGGGTAGGGTGTTAGGGTATAGGATGGGATCATGTGGCGGATGCAATAGGTAGAGTTGACTTGTATCGGTCTTAGGCAGATTTAGCAGACGTGTCTTGAGATGTTGTCTGAATGGAGCAACATTTTCTTTGCTTGAAGTTTCTATCATCAATCCAAGGAATTTTCCAAATGTTTCTATTTTCCCCTAATTTATTTATTTATTATTATTTTATTTTGTTAAAGATGTACATAAAAGTTATTGGTTTTTTTTTTTAGGTTGGATTTGGTTAGCTGACACTGGCAAACTTATATTAAATTCTACATTGTAAGAATTGTTAATGTTTTTTTTCAGAAGCCACATCTAAGATGGCGTCTGTTCAGCTGCCAGTCCTTCTGACAACTGTCTGCCTATTGGTTGGCTGCGTGCTGGTACTCGGCGCACTGGTTGCCGTAATGCGTAAACGGACCAAACGCCTTCACATGTATGAGCCAGTGTCCACTGAGGATCAGGAAGAAGACTGAATTAACGAGTCATGAAACGAATTGATCTTATTTTAATTAAACATCTGGGATAACTTCTATGCATGAACTTTTAATACATATTCCAGTGTTTCTTTCACTTGCATAAAATTTAGATACAATTAGCTACCGTATTTATTCACTTCGTGCACGAGCAATATATGGCGCTTTCACAATTCTCCCTTTGCAACCGTAGAGGGGGTACTTATACACGGAGCCATGGGTGCAGTCCAGTAAGTAAATTGCTATAGACCCCAACGATAAATGCCATCACTTAAAAACAATCTGAAAAAAGACATGTCTCCAAGGTGATCGAGACACACATCAAACTAAAGCTTATTTCATCATCTTTCATTTGGGGTTAACCAATGACTTTTGTTGGGAAGTTTACATGAAAGTTGAAAGTAGTCCTAATGAGGTCCGCCACCATTTTTGAAAAATGATCCCACTCCATTTGGAAAACAGAGCAATTCTAGGGCGTCGTTTCATCCAAATTTCACAGAAACGCAAACTCAAAGTCCTGTGCAGATCGAGCCTCCACTCTTCAGTTGTGTACAAATCTACACAAACCCCAAAACAACAAAGAATCTAAGGTATGCAAATCATGAGTTTCTCCTTTGCGAGAAATTTGGAGCCTATTAAATAATTGTCTGCTATACCTATATTTTTCCCCTTCCTTATTCCTTTCGAAGATCATTAGTCTAGTTGAATTCGGCAAACATCTCAACCATGGACCACCCCACAAAAGTTTCACATAAAAAAAACAAAATAAGAATGAATTTATATAATCAATTAATACTCAGAAAAGTGAGGATTTTCTTATTAATAATGTATTATGTAACAGTATTTCAACTGCTTTAATACTCAGAAGGATTCAATTGTCAAGTGTAAACACAACCAATAAAAATTAGTTCATTAGATTTTGCATGCTTAAAAATCGTTACATTACAAATTTAGCTCGTTTTGCATATTAGTTCAACGTTTCCTTAGAGCAAGGAAAAATGTCAACACGTAAAAAAAAAATGTATGCCCAAGTTAGAAACGTTTTGATTTTCTCATTGTGTGATTTGGAGAATAGTTTTACCGTATTCCAAATCCTTGTACTTTCTCTACCATATTCTCAATTTATAAGTTTGTTTCGAGGGCAAGGCGGTTAACCCCCCCCCCCCCCCCATTGACATCCATGCAGACGCAGACGCCCATTTGTTAACTGTGTATTAAATTAAAATGAAAATATGACTTCACGCCTCAATTTTTTTCTTTTCTTTTATATTTGTCTTTTTTTTGCTTTTTTTTTGGGGGGGGGGGGGGTTGGGGGGTTAGTGCCCCTCTTGCCCCATTCCGGCGACGCCCATGCAGCTGGCCTGAGCGAGGTTTTACGCATGTTGTGCACTGCTCTTTTAGCAAGAAGACGTCATGGGTGTGGATGGTCTCTGAATAAAGATTGGTTTTGTTTATCAATTTCTTTTGCTTTCGCTTTTTATTTTGAATAAGAACATACTTTTGCATCTGATTACTTCATTAATGTAAAGATATAATAAAATGGATTTTTTTTCTTCAAAAAAGCAAAAAATGCCAGACAATTCCCCAGGTGAGGCTTGAACTCACAGCCTTTGCATCTCTCCATGGCAATGCGTATGGTTACTGTCTTATAAGTACAACGCGCTAAACGATTGTGCTACTGGGGACTGCCAAGAAGCATAGCTCATCTCAATTATAGGATAATTCAACACGTTTTGATTTTTCATAGCTGCTAGTCTTGGTCCAAGACGTTTCTTATCGATAAATGACCTACCGCTGCCCGTACGACTAAGTTTCATTGAAGTGCGCCCTCGCGTGATCGGTGATGACAATTTTCGGTTCGAGGTATCTCGTGTGACTTCGCATTACTGCGAAAACAAACGGCGATGCTGCGCCGGCGCGAGGCGATTCACAATCGATCACTTGCGTTTTGAACCAAGACTATAATATATAAGATTTGAGGCTTTGCATGGTGGGGTATCGGTATCGTTTCGGTACTGACACACCCGAGCGAGCAGGGCATGCCCAGCAAGCACTCCCAATCCTAACAAATCCTACTTAAGGAGTAGCATCTCCAACTATCTTCAGTCTCCTGACGATGACTAGAGCAGGCTAGTCGAAACGTTGAGACCAAAGACAAGTTCGTTTAGAACTTACAGCAGGACTTTTCTTAACGGAACAAAAAACTACTTAGCAAAGTTGATAACAAGCAGGACAAGTTCTTTTCAGAACTAATATCTTCTAAGCAGTAGTTATTACCACATGGTGTTACCGCAAACCGAAACGATGACTATAATACAGATAAGAGGCTGACTTATGCGGTTGTTTTGAGATAATAATTGGCTTAGCATTCACCAAGGGCATAAATTTGTGTCGGCGGCTTGGGAAGGAGGACGATGAAAAATCCGGACGCCATCTATTTCGCTAGTAATACAACATCGATTAACATTCGACCCACGTTTAGTTATGGAAAAATATTGTTTTCGAATTAGGTTTATTGTTGCCCGATAGTTATTCAGCTGTCGCAAAAAGACGACATGTTCCCGCCCTCATCGTATTCAATAAATAGGGATCGGAAAACAGTGTCTTGCAAGGAGGATGTGTTTTGGCTCAAAAGCAACCAAGAAATAAAAGTCTTATTTTAAACATTTCTTGTCTCGGAATTCCCCCCCCCCCCGCTAAAATAGAACATGGACAAAATGACATTTGTTGAAAAGCACGGGCCTTACAACTTCACTATACCATTCATTACAAAGCCTGGTCCTATTCCTCTCTGCATTTATAAAAATAACACAATTTCCGCCATGAATGCGAACGCATGTACGTTTGCAATATCCTTGCACCCACTCGACAGGTTGACGATTGTCCGGGACTACCTAGGCGAACAAACCACCAAAGAGGAAGTGAAAACCAAGAATAACGCTTGGGAAAAAATATATGCCGTGCACTATGACCTTCAATGCATGCACCAGCGATCCTCAATGCGCTCACACACTAACCTACCTGCCTTGAGTATTATTGCTGTACTTTACAATGGTTTCCGCATCCGTCATACAACACCAGCCATTAAAATGTACACTTTGCGGATACCGGGTGTATATAATGAACTATCAAGTGGATTTGAACTAGCAGCTATCAAAAGGGAATCATATCGTGTGAAACTAACTACTATAGAGTACAGCGTTATCATCTGTAAATATCTCTGCGATCATTAAAATTCGAAGGGTCGGACTACTGGTCGACAACTTGGTGAGTTTGCTGGTAAGTTTTGTTTTTACAGCCTGATCTGTACCCGAATCCTTTAGTCCATGTATGCTCCTGTATACGTATAAAACTAGAAACTACGTTCTGAGTGGTGTCAATGCTTCGGCTGCCGTAAATATATTTTGAAACATGTATTGATTAAACCGCGCAGTTCGAAATGCCACATTTTAGGGTAAACTTTTGAATTTTGACGCTAGCGTGAAACTGCCATGATGAATTCATCAAAAGAGCGGGCATTTTATCCCACCGCGGTCGTTGATCTTGTTATAAGTCATTTGAGTGGACTTTCATTATGGATGTACAGTTGATTTGTTTAATTAAAGGTCTTTAGGGGTTGATTAATTATACATGTATTCAATTTATCGCAAACATCCTCGTGGCTAGTTAAAAGTGACGTGTCCAATACAGGTGCCATAATTATTGCATCACATCAGATCCTTTATTATTCAAATTCGTGGTACTTTCCCCGTTATGGGTTTCATTGAAACTCGACCAATTTCAAAACCGCTGTGGATCTGGAGGATGATGTCAGGGTCAACATTCCATGGCGCTGCTGTGCACACGGAACTTTCTGTCCGTTAGTAAAAGGTGCATCAAACGCTGATGTAGACTATAATACATTTATTGGAGTAAAACGGTGACTCAACAATGACTTTCTGCCTGCGGATAGTCACCGGCCAAGAAATACTTTATAAGTTCAACACACTTCTGCTACATTAGCGCAAGTTTTCATGAGCAAATTGTAAATCGCCCCAAAACAGTTTAAATGGTTAAATGTAGACGCTCGGCGATCTCTTCAGTGAAAGTTCAAGGTAGGTTGCCAGAAGATAAGTGCCATTTGAACAGTTATTATTATTTTTTTCGAATGACCGGAGAACATGGTCGACCGAACAACGCGGCATTATTGACCGGATCAGCAAAAGTCGGTAGGGAATAAATCGTGGGATAAAGTATATGAATAATTGTAAGGGGAACGAGACACTTCTTCGACATAAAATATTTCAATGACAAAGGGCTACTTATTAAATTTTTGCATCCATCTGCGCTTGAGAACAAAGCTCAAATTGCATGGCAATTATTCGGCAAATTTATATCCATCGCTAAACACCTACACAAACAAATGGGAAAGTTGCAGCCGGCCGAAGTCATACTGGAGCGAATTATAGTTATTGGGAAATTCGCGAGGGGCTAAATTTGCAACAGAGTGAGTTGCTATGGGGCGAAGTTGGCTACATGGCTGATATAGGGGCGTACTGTAGCCCAGTAAATAGACCCCAAATTACCTACGCCGGCCATATCACGATTTGCATGCCCTAAAATTCTCCGGTATTTTGAGCATTTTGAGGGCCATGAACTTGAGGAAGGATGGAAGCCGTGCAGAGGACTGCCAGCTCATATTTCTGTGAAATTGCGAAGAAAATAGGTCCAAAAATGCTTTATTTTGCCATGGAGCGTAGATAACCTTGTTAGAATGGCGTGGACACTTTTAGGGGTGATCATCTTTGGTCTTTTCTCTCAAAAGTCATTTTGAGAACGGAAAATAAAAGATGAAGAAAAAGCTTTGATTTGATGTGTGTCTCAAAAACCTTGCAGAGTTGTGAGTATTTTTAAATTTCTGGGAAGTGCACGTAATTTTCATTGAGGTAAATGGAAGTCTATTTACTGGTCTGCAATCATAGGGCGAATAGTGCAAGTGGGGATGGGGCAAAGTTTGCAATGGGGCGAAGTGGCAATGGGGCGAAGTGCCTCGGTTGTTGCTACTTTGGTAGTTTTGACATGTCGGCTGCCCGACAATTGACATTTGTTGTCGGGCATGGTAGGTCGTGTCCGTGCACGGATATACTTACTGAGCACGTGCCGTTTGGTATTAAAGAGAGATATTTTCAGTTGAAGAAAAATGCTTGTTTTTGTAATCATTTTTAATTTTGATGACCGCGACGCGCATGCGCATGTTGAGGGACTTACTGGAAACTTTAACATGGATACCATGCGCTCTTCAAAATATAGATTTGTTTTCCCCTAACGAATTTTTAATATTTTTGTTTTGTTTTAACCAACCAAACTACTTTATTCCGAGTTTGGGCGCCTGCAACCCCTGAAAAAGGGCTTTCATTTTGGGCACGAATTAGCCCGCCCTCGTGCGAGAGCCGAATCGTTGTCTGGCAGCCAGTATTTCAAATTCTTGAAATAAATAGTTCAATAAATAAAACGTTTATGGATTTTGTCTTTCGATGTCTCATTCAAAAGTGAATAACCTTTATACTACTAAGAACACATCAATTGAATAAAAAAAAATCTGGTTTTCGAAGTAAAACTCGAAAATAGCACATGGAACGCAACTCTGAAATGCCTTATCTTGATATAATTTTTTTTAATTTTTTTTATTTTTATCAATTATTATTATTATTTTTTTTACATCAAACGAGATATACATTTTTGTAAAACAGGATCCTAATACACAATCAAAATGAACGCACCGGTGGTTTTACGTTCCATTTCCATTCTGTGAGCGTGACCCATTTTACGACAGTCATTTATGATAAAAATAAAATCACAATGCTGCACCTAAAGAATGTTCCTATAATTTTTTTCTCACAGATTCTTCCTCGACATTATGGAGCGTGAGCAGCCAAAAGCTTTCGCCGACACTGAACATATCCACTCCGGCTATCTTACCCTCGGTGAACAAGTGCATAGGAAAGATGGCACGCAGATATCTTTCAAGGTAAAATATAACTTCTTGTCTTGTTTAAAGAACAAAATTAGAACATGTCTTTCGGGACACTTTCTTCAATGGATTATTGAGAGAGAAGAGTTTTTAATACGAATATAATAATGCGCTAAAGGAAAGCAGTGATATTCATGCCACTAGAGATGGGGCTATAGAAATAAAAAAAAACATTGCACTGAGGTAAAACAGACTGAAGATACTTTATCTTTTGTGCATTAAAAAAAAAATTAAATCACACTCCTAACAACGGAACCATCTTTTTCTACCGTCATAGGATAAAAACAAACGATTCTACGTTTTGAGATGTTTTGGCCACAAGTTTCTCACATTGAGTGGCTACAAGAACATCAAAGAATATAAAGCCCCATCGGGGAGTCAACATAAGACTGTGGAACAGATTTCGGTGTCCAAAGATGCTAAGGTAGGTCCTCACATCAGTCAAATGTGGTGGTCTTGTGTCTAGAGAAGGCACACGTCCCAATTTCCATATTTCAACTTGTTTTTGTTTAGTTAAAATGTCATATTTTAATTATTTATGAAATTATTTTGAGTAAGTGGTCGGGTGGGTTAGGCCTGCTTGACTTGGAATCAACACAATTTGTTTGCTCTGATTGTAGCGATTCTAATGAACAGAATGCTCCAGAAGATTAAACAAAAGGCGAGGGCGTGGTTTGCTGACTGGGGCATACGATGATGAAAAGCTCTTGAATTCTTAGACTTAAATGTAAGAACAGTTCGTATGGTCTTCGTTTCTCCATCCCTAATTTTCAAAATAACGATTGAAGGCGTTTACACTAATAGGCCTACATTCAGAATATTTGCAGCTGGAAAAATTGAAAGAATGATTAAAGACTTGTGTTTTTTTCTCTGTAATAGATTCACAGCATGTTGATACCCGCCAAGAAGCACAAGAACTCTCACGTGCTCGGTATCCTCCAAGACAAAGATATGACGTACTTGGAGGCCGATTCAAGGTTTGTTGAAAATTTACGGAAACTTATGATGACTATGAAAGCCAAAAGCGGCAGTTATTGAGAGCCTGAAAACCTTAGAATAAAACCGCAAGACTACTGTTATAGCTGTAATCACGGGCTGTCAGTCAAAAGGCCAAAAAACATAATAGTACAGTCTCCAAAAAAATATGAATTACACATTCAAATATTTTGTAGCAGGAAGCTAAATACTGTAATTGTTAAATAAAATGCCAAATACAAATATATCTGACTTAAAAGTTGTAACATTTGTTTTTATTGTATTTTATAGGCTCAATGTGATTTTCATCTTATGTCTTGATTTTTCAGTGACGAATTAACTGCATGGTGTAATGCCTTCGATGACGTCTTTATTCGTCTGGGCTGGAAGGAGCCTCCTCCTCCTTCCCCGACCCCGCCCCCGTCACCTTTGTCCCCACCCCCTGGACTGGAAAGTCAAGATGGCAAAGTGCCAAGCCAAAGAAGAAGGAAGCCGTTGCCTAGCAGGGGCAGCGCATTGGACCTATTTCAGGTACGGGTCTTGCCTCACGAGAATGGGATGCGTATCCTAAGCTAATAAAGACTGGATGCAAGTCTAGGCATGGCAGAAGGCGCTGGAGGGTCTAGGACAATAGACCATTATCATGTTGAGGCCATTTAGGATTTTTCTCATTCAAATCAACGTAACCAAAGCGAGGCTGGAAGGAAAAATAGTCTGGTTCCTTTTTGCAAAAAACCCCCAAAACATTAGCATACTGTTATTGGATACAGGGTACATGACTGAAATGGTGGCACCATGATAAAGGTCTATAGTGTCAAAGAATATGATAGTGCACATAGCGGCCGGTGTCATATGAAAATCCGACCCCTATTAAAATCGGAATTCTTTTCCCAATTATTGGTTAATCCCTCACACGTGACAAGTCAATCTCTTGTAAAAAGATCTATACATAGGCTATTATCATACTCATGTGCAATACTACCAATGAGCCCATATTTCATGTAGTCGGATATTCACGCTACATCGGCCGTTTTAAACCTGCAAAATGGGAGGCGCGGGGTTGGACATCAGTTGTCGCTGGGGAATCTCCCCCCCCCCCTTTTTTCATAAAAATTCCACTGCACAATATGTAAACACAGTCGTCTTCGCTCTTTTTCTGGTTTAAATGTCAATTAAAAGTACAAACAAATAAAGTCTCTTACTTTTGGAGGCCTGAGTACATGTCCCCATGCGTCCCCCTTCAGCATTTGACTTTTTACACTTTTGCCAAGGGCCAAAATGACACTCAGAGCTTGGCCCGCACAAGGATCTTAACAGGTGTCATTTTGACCCGAAAAATGTAACAACTTTGACCATTGTAATAACGCCAGGTAGAACCCGGATGCTGACTTAGTCTGACCAGGGACATCCTGCAGTGTAAGATGGCCAAACACCGGTGTCATGAAACTTAAACTCCTGTGAAATATGGCCTATTTATCCTTATATGGATTCGAACCCTCACACGTGACCTGTTAGTATGCAAAGTACCTTGATCTAGGCATGCGCAATAGAAACAAGGAGTTTGTATTCCATAGACTGGTTCTCTCAGTGTTGCAATAGGCATCATCATTATCATGGGTGTTGCACTCGCAGACGTGTTACGTTCATTGTGATTCAACTATGTTTTGATGCATAACTTCCATTTGAAACCTCCAGCAGAGCCAGGAGCCTAATCGGACACGCTTCTCCTCGCCTCCAGCAGGCAGCGCAAATCGTAACTCTGGTGATGAAGAGTTTGCTTTTAACTTTGATCGGCCGAGGAGTACAGAGGCTGAATTCAGCAAAATCACACACTCATACTCAGATGGCACAGGTGAGGAGCTTTTACATTTTGTGGAAAATCATCACAACTACGTCACCTGATTAATGGTGGATGGGGGAGTGTAGGTGACCCCTCCCTTGGGCCACAAAAAATAGGAAAGTCTTGTATAGAGAAATGAAGTACCTGCTATAGTAACCCCTCCCTTTGACTGTTGCCTCCCCAATATTCAAAGCTGGATCAACCCCTACTGAAAATCAAACTCAACTATCAGTGTTTGATCTTGTTAGACCACCTATTTTCTCTGTCCAACGAGGCAAAACCTGTTAATTTGTGATACAGCATTCCACCCTAAATAAGTTTGAACAATATTATGCCAGTACCAGCGTAACCATTGTTTTATAAGACTATCCATCACCTCTTCCATATTGTTTTCATGTATGTATCTGGCCTTCCGTCGAGGAAGTTTTATTTCTACTGTATACTCGGTGCTTCCAAGAGTTGAACGAGAAATTCACAAGCCTGTACTAAGGGGTATCGAGCATGGGCGTCGCGAGGGGGGGGGGGGCAAGGGGGGCATTTGCCCCCTGGAAACCCCCCCCCCCCAAAAAAAAAAAAGAAGAAAAGAAAAGAGAAAAAGAGGCGCGAAGTCATAGTGGTGTAAATTTAATGAGTTGGGGGGGGGGGCAAAATGTCCCTGCCCCCCTCTAAAACTGAGAAATCGAGAATATGTTGAGAAATACAGGAATTTTTTGGGAAAATATGTTTTGTCCCCCTCTAGAAAAAATCCTGGCGACGCCCATGGTATCGAGCCCATGACCTTCTGTTTACAAGTGCCAACGGCTTATATGCGCTTGAATTGCAATTTGTCTTAATGCACTTGACATAGAACACAAATCGCCGGACATAGGGAGAATATTACAGTAGCATATGTGATTAGGTCTGTTTTACGTTTTAATGAAAGGTTTGCGGAAACACCATGTGCGTATAATTTCTCAACTAAGAGAATGGTTCTGAAAAGAACCAGAGGTATAAACTGAGTTTATACGTCTGTTTTTTTTTCAGAACCATTCTCTTATTTGAGAAATTATTCGCACATGGTGTTTCCGCAAACCTTTCATTATTTAGTATCTCCACCATGCACAGCCTCAAGTCTTACTGTTTTACGTTAAAAAGGAGTTAAACTAAGCAACATTCCCATGAATACTTTGCTTGAGTAAAAAATATTGTATTTTTTTCACCACTGTTTCGCAAAAAAGTTGTGGTCGATGTCTCTGTTGTTATGTTTTTTTATGGACGAATCAACTCATTCGCTGTAAATTGTTATTGTTATTTATGTTACAGAGCATATCGGATACGTTAACTTACAAAAAAACGTCAGTCCACCCGCGTGGCTTGAGAACACGCCAATGCACCAGGAGCGCGTGGTCGACGTTTCCCATGTTCGTTACATCAATCTCAGAGGGAAACAAGACCACGAGGAATTGGTTCACCCGGGGCCCCCTCCATCACTGCCACCGAGAGGAAACTTGCACAGAATTAGGGGAAACACATGCCCTGGGTTTCATCTCACGAATCATGATTCCCCGGACGATCGGTCTCCGAGGAACTCCGGCGGGTTTGAAGACGGCATTCGGCCCGCACGTTCGGAGAGCGTGCACACGCCGCCCGCGCCTAAGATTAGCGTGACTGAAGCACCGCCGATGTCGCCATTGTTGACCAACAAGAGATTCTTACATCTGCAAGACGATTCGGACGCCATGCGTAAGGTGTCCCTACCTCAGCCGCTGAATTTAAAGCCTCGACGCGTAGGTGTTGTTGTTCCCCCGGCTATTTCGCCGCCCGACTCACCAGCTGCCTTACGCAAGGCCGGGTCCTACAGCAACGTGTCTCTCAATCTATCCAATAGACCACTGCCTTCACCAGTTCACGGTGGTGACTCCTTCGATGTCCAGTAAGTGCCAAATATAATACTGTCCAAATTACAGAGAAACTTTGTTGATAGAGTAAGTATAATAGTTCAAAATGGACACTTGCAGCCTGTCAATTAAACAGTGCGCATTGACCAATCAGATCGGTAACAAGCACATTGTAAAAAAAACCCTAAGGCGAGCGGATCTTTTTGCCAAATCCGCAACTCCTATTATGAATTGTTTTTCTGAGGGAACGGTTACTTGTACCATTCATGACTGGTACATACATGACAGATTCAAGTTATGTGTACTTGTCTTTTAGTTTCATTTAGTATCATATTCGCTTCCATAGTTTTTGCACGAGTGAATGTGCCCGTTGTACGTGCCCTTCAGTAAAAATACCATTGGCGATAAGTGCAATCACACATATAGCAAATCGTACACACAAACTTAATTTTAAACCGAAAAGTTTAACAGCAAGCCGGTGCACTCTTGAATATTGATGCGTCTTCATTTTCAAACCTTACGGAAGTTAAGAAGTAAACTTAGCGAGGTCACATTTCACTTTGCAGCACACTGCGTTGGGAGATTGGTCACAAGGACGGCTTCCCTGTTGTCTTGAAGAAGAGCGAGTTGGATAATGCATTGGGGCTTGTGCGAATAGCTGACTACGTGTGGTAAGTAAAATACTCACATTTGGTTTTACAGGAAATAGAGTGAACCATTTGCAGTTATCCAAAAAAGTAACCGACCAAATTATTGTTCACAATTTTACTTGGTTTAAAGATGGCAATGACATGCTGCCATTTTGAAGAAAACAATAAGAGAAGGTCATTTTCTAAAGATGTGTCAAGTGATACATTTTTGGAGATTTCCATTTGTATTTTAGTTGATTTGTAACTTGACGAACCCTTGAATGGGTTCAAGCGTTCTAGGCCATCAGCCTGGGGGTTTGGTCGGTATCAAATGAGGGGAATAATGCTCATGGCGATTTTCGGCAAGGTATGCACCCCTGTAGTTGGAAAATTCGTGATAGCATTGCAGCGGTGGCACCTTTTTGGGTGTTATCACTTCATAAATAAAAACGGCGACCAAAACATGCTTGTTACTACATGCAATTAGTTCAGTAACAAGCATATTGGCGGCCATTTTGGAAAGAAAAGGGATAACACCCTAAAAACTGCCACCGATCACACTGCAAAGTTATCACACATTTTCCATCTCAGATGTGCATACCTTGCCAAAAATCACTATTGAATATTGCTCCTTTCGATCATTTGATACCGGTGGCCAAATTTTTGGACTGTAGATGATAGCCTATTGACACGACGCACACGGCTTCTAGTATGGCTGTGTCCGAATCAACTGGCTGCGGCCGGGAGTAACACACACACGTCTATGTGAAGTGGCTGTAGCCACAACAAATGGCTTCCCTTTTATGGAATTTCATTATATCAAACCTGTTCTTCCCCAGGGTTGCTGGTTGGAAAGCTGGGAAATCGGAGGTAGCCAAGAAGCTTCATGTCGGGGACCAGCTAAGGCAGATTAATGAGCAAATTGTCGTGGATCCATCGGTCACTAATACGCTCTTTGCAACATCTGCTGTAGATGAGGTACACACAGTTTGTTTTTGGTAATATTTACAATTTGGCAACCCGAAGGCTAACTTTCAGATATGAAATACATGAAAAATAACATCAAACCATTAGACCAATTTACACAAAACTTATCCACGTCCACCAATAAAAATCGTAATAAAATAGAAGAAAATTAGAACGATAAGAACCAGCTTTTATTTTTGATTCATTTACGTCTAGATCTTACTGGTCATCAGACGCTTACCACACGCCAAAGTGCGTAACCTGCATCGGTCGTCTGTCAATGAAAGCTGGGGGCTGGAAGTCGAAGGCAACAGGGTATGTTATATTAATAGTGGACATGAACTTACAATTTAGTCGATGGAATCAAATAACAGTGCGCAATGGCTTTTTAGTGCCCAAAAAATAACGACCAAGCTCTTAGACACCGCTTCCAAATTTATCATTGCCGAACACAGAGGTTGGGGATAAAAGTCCAGTGAGACCTTTTTAAGAGCCTCAAGCGAATTCAAGGGAGTCCAGGGATGTTTCTATAGACACTCGATAAGCAGTGTGTATCGGTAGGTCTAATATGACTTATTAAACAAAAAGGTAGCAAAGTGCATAACCATTGGTATTTACCAGCACCAATTCAATTCGGGCGATTCACAATGCAGTGCGCCGCCAAGAGTTTGCCACGGAGAGTTCATTTTTCCCAGTGCATTGTGGGAGATGGTCGACTAATGGCGCAGGCAACGCGGGACATTTCGGTCAGTAGTTTCATAAGCGTGTGATTCGAGCATCTGCCCTTTTCTTTTCTTTTGATCAAAATGGTCTTTTGTGTAAGGCGACAGAACGCTACGCCCAATCTTTAACAAATTAGCTCGAGTTGTCTTCTGACACTCGTTCACTAAATGAGCCATGTTTTGTCGACCGTAAGTTTAAAACTATGGACTCTCTACGGCAAACTCTTGGTGGCGCAGTACATTGTAAATCGCCCGAATTGAGTATTTTCTACATTCAATTATTCATCACGGAACAAACATATGGGCCTACTTTAAAAACAATCGAACGCAACTTGTATTAGCCTAACTAAATGCCAGTTCGTATGAAAGTGAATGCAAAGCTAAAAATCCTGGCGTGAGTTGTTACATTTGAAATGTGTTCGACCGAATGTGAATTCGGAGCTGAATATTTGCTATGCTCTCGCAAATTTGCGAAGAACCAGCCTGAAAACTTAAGAACTGTAATTCAACATCATGTACTCGATTTGTGGTCCTCTTTTAGGTGGTCAACGTCTCGAAAAGTGGACCAGCGGCTGAAGCCAAACTAACAACTCGAGCCCAGGGAGCGTTTAGTGAGAGGCTGTGTGACTGGATCATTACAGAGATCGATGGCGAACCAGTGTCTCTGCTTAGTAAGCGAGACCAGGTATGACCATACAATTTTTTTTTTATTATTGCCTCCGCCAAGGAGGATACGTTTTTTCATCGGATTTTGTCGGTTGGTTGGTTGGTTGGTTGATTGGTTGGTTTGTCTGTTAACAAGATAACTGAAACAGTTATGGATGGATTTGCATGAAATTCTTTTAGGGGTGGTCCTTGGTACAGGTACAAATCGGTTCGATTTTCGAAGTGATCCGGATCTGGGTCTGGATCCATTTTTTTAAAAGGATTCTTCACCATTTATGCCAGTTTTTCTTTTAGGTGTACTGACAATATGGCGTGGAATTGTTTAGCCTTAATAAAGAAATGTGCTCTCTGAGTGCTTTCTACCTGTTTATTTAATTTTGGTTATGAAAAAAAAAACACGATTCATCAACAGCACCAAAGGCACTTGTAGCTCAAAAAAAGTAGAGAGGAGAAGAAATAACTAAGAAATACCCAGCTACAGAGAAAATAGCCAGTGACTATCTCTTGCAACCTGATCCCTACATCATATACAAAGCTCAACACACACATACTCATAAAACATAAAAAAACGTTTAAACCGTTGCTTTGTGTTTGTTACATGCTTACAATTATTTTGACGTAACTGTCAGGTGAAGAATCGAATGGACAATGCTGGTCTCCAGATGGCGCTCGTGATCCAACCCGATGACTTCATCAAGAGACTAAACGCAGAGCTGCAGAAGGTCAAGTTTGCTCACGAATACTTTGTTGGATCAAATTGACAGGACTAAAATCAAATTGGTAACTGTATGATCGACACCTCAAATGCTTTAGTTTCATACACTGATTTACTTTCATACACGATCGCACTAAACAATGTCTTTTCAAAAGCCATAAGTGTCATTTCAAAAGCCATAGTGACAATTTAGGGAGGATGATATCGCTTCCGAGTCGGACGAATGACGTCTGACGTATGATGAATATGCATGCTGAACGCACTGTACATAGTTTGTGCCATACACTGTCGTTAGGTTGCATAACAGCTTAATAATTGAAAGCTATTTATTTCCGACTATTTTCCGACTATCCTTGCAACCTTTTTATTTTGAAACCATGGCATTTAAAAAAACAAAAAAAAACAAAAAAACCAGAAATCCATGCCCAAAATATAAGCCTGGACAGGGTGACAATCCACCAATAGGAAATTCAGCGCCATGTTTGGTCTAGGACACCGTTGTTATTTTGATAAAATAACAAAAGAGGGCGCTGTGCAATCGTTCATGAAGATTTGGAGTTCGGAATAAAATGCCCTCTTTGGCATGTTACTATAAAAAACATCGCAAATGTGTATAATGCCATACATGCTCTTTCAATATCTGCATATTATGCTGCTGCATTTGAATATCGTTTTTAACTTCAAAGCATATAACATCACGGCAGAAATCAAATAGCTTAGCAAGCATACTTTGAGTATTACTCGTCACTGGATGACTTTCAATGCAAATTATAGCTAAACAGTGTTACGAATTTCAAAATAAATTTAATTGCGTCATTAAGAATGAGAAACCGAGCGACTTAATTCCGCGAATAAAATGAAATACTAGGCAAGGACTCAGACGAGACAAACTTTAGTTCAAACTTTCATCTTGTTAAAATTGTTCCACTTGTTCTCGTGCCCTTCACCAGTCATGAGGCTACACAAAGCATACATTGCAAGGCAAACTAATTTCAGTTTAATCTGATTTATAGGCTTTTAATTGTAATGCTGCACAATTGTTGTACACTTATTATTCAATATGTTTGAACTCTGATGAGTTAATACTTTGTCCCTGCTATTATTCGGAGTATATAATTACTGTAAGAGATACGTGCCAAGTATGTTTTTTTTTATAAACATTGATTATTGAGCATGAAACTGCCTTGCCCACAAATTTACATTGACGTTGGTCTTATTTTTTTTTATTTTAGATTAATTTTCAGGGTGTGGCACATAATAAAGTGAATTGTGCTACAGTCAAGCGATTACGACAGACAAAAACAACACGTCTAAAAGTTGGGTCAAAATCACTGAAAAATAAGATTCTTTTCTCAATGAATCGATTATTTGAGCTCAAATTCTCGAAATGATGGCAGTCATTGTATGATACTCTCCTTGCATCAATAGTCCTTTCTGCGTCTTTTGGAGAAAAGTCATTTTTTGGCCAAATTTGATGAAAAATGTAAGACTTGCATTTTTTTTATCAATTTTGGCCAAAAAATTGAAATTGCGCCAAACTTCAGGGAAAGACGCCTGAGGGATCTTGATAGACATTTCAACTCGATTTCTGGACAGATGTGCCGTTACACAGGAACAATGCGTCGAAAATTTGGGTCAAAATCAGTAAAAAATGAGATCCTTTTTTTCTCAATTAATCGATTATTTGTGCCCAAAACTTCGAAATAATTGCAGTCTGAATATTGTATGATACTCTCCTTGCATCAATAGTCATTTCTGCGTCGTTTGGAGAAAAGTCATTTTTTGGCCAAATTTGATGAAAAATGTAAGGCTAACCCCTTGCAATTTTTTCAATTTTGGCCAAAAAATTAAATTGCGCCAAACTTCCAGAAAAGACACCTGAGGGACCCTACAAGACATTTCAACTCGATTTCTGGACAGATGTGCTGTTAGACAGGAAAAATGCGTCGAAAAATTGGGTCGAAAACAGTGAAAAATAAGACCATTTTTTGCTCAATAAATCGACTATTTGTGCCCAAATCTTCCAAATAATCGCAGTCTGAATATTGTATGATACTCTCCTTGCATCAGTAGTCATTTCTGCGTCGTTTGGAGAAAAGTCATTTTTTGGCCAAATTTGATAAAAAATGTAAGGCTAACCCCTTGCAATTGTTTCAATTTTGGCCAAAAAATTAAATTGCGCCAAGCTTCCAGAAAAGACACCTGAGGGACCCTAAAAGACGTTGCAACTCGATTTCTGGCAGATGTGCTGTTAGATAGGAAAAATGCGTCAAAAAATTGGGTCAAAAACAGTGAAAAATAAGATCATTTTATTCTCAATAAATCGATTATTTGTGCCCAAATCTTCTAAATAATCGCAGTCTGAATATTGTATGATACTCTCCTTGCATCAATAGTCATTTCTGCGTCGGTTGGAGAAAAGTCATTTTTTGGCCAAATTTGATGAAAAATGTAAGGCTAACCCCTTGCAATTTTTTCTATTTTGGCCAAAAAATTAAATTGCGCCAAACTTCCAGAAAAGACACCTGAGGGACCCTAGAAGACATTTCAACTCGATTTCTGGACAGATGTGCTGTTAGACAGGAAAAATGCGTCGAAAAATATGGTCAAAAACAGTGAAAAATAAGATCATTTTTTTCTCAATAAATCGATTATTTGTGCCCAAATCTTCCAAATAATCGCAGTCTGAATATTGTATGATACTCTCCTTGCATCAGTAGTCATTTCTGCGTCGTTTGGAGAAAAGTCATTTTTTGGCCAAATTTGATAAAAAATGTAAGGCTAACCCCTTGCAATTTTTTCAATTTTGGCCAAAAAATTAAATTGCGCCAAACTTCCAGGAAAGACACCTGAGGGACCCTACAAGACATTTCAACTCGATTTCTGGACAGATGTGCTGTTAGACAGGAAAAATGCGTCGAAAAATTGGGTCGAAAACAGTGAAAAATAAGACCATTTTTTTCTCAATAAATCGACTATTTGTGCCCAAATCTTCCAAATAATCGCAGTCTGAATATTGTATGATACTCTCCTTGCATCAGTAGTCATTTCTGCGTCGTTTGGAGAAAAGTCATTTTTTGGCCAAATTTGATAAAAAATGTAAGGCTAACCCCTTGCAATTTTTTCAATTTTGGCCAAAAAATTAAATTCGCCAAACTTCCAGAAAAGACACCTGAGGGACCCTAGAAGACGTTTCAACTCGATTTCTGGACAGATGTGCTGTTAGATAGGAAAAATGCGTCAAAAATTGGGTCAAAAACAGTGAAAAATAAGATCATTTTTTTCTCAATAAATCGATTATTTGTGCCCAAATCTTCTAAATAATCGCAGTCTGAATATTGTATGATACTCTCCTTGCATCAGTAGTCATTTCTGCGTCGTTTGGAGAAAAGTCATTTTTTGGCCAAATTTGATGAAAAATGTAAGGCTAACCCCTTGCAATTTTTTCTATTTTGGCCAAAAAATTAAATTGCGACAAACTTCCAGAAAAGACACCCGAGGGACCCTAGAAGACATTTCAACTCGATTTCTGGACAGATGTGCTGTTAGACAGAAAAAAAGCGTCGAAAAATTGGGTCAAAAACAGTGAAAAATAAGATCATTTTTTTCTCAATAAATCGATTATTTGTGCCCAAATCTTCCAAATAATCGCAGTCTGAATATTGTATGATAATCTCCTTGCATCAGTAGTCATTTCTGCGTCGTTTGGAGAAAAGTCATTTTTTGGCCAAATTTGATGAAAAATGTAAGGCTAACCCCTTGCAATTTTTTCAATTTTGGCCAAAAAATTAAATTGCGCCAAACTTCCAGGAAAGACACCTGAGGGACCCTAGAAGACATTTCAACTCGATTTCTGGACAGATGTGCTGTTAGACAGGAAAAATGCGTCGAAAGTTTGGGTCGAAAACAGTGAAAAATAAGATCATTTTTTTCTCAATAAATCGATAATTTGTGCCCAAATCTTCCAAATAATCGCAGTCTGAATATTGTATGATACTCTCCTTGCATCAGTAGTCATTTCTGCGTCGTTTGGAGAAAAGTCATTTTTTGGCCAAATTTGATGAAAGATGTAAGGCTAACCCCTTGCAATTTTTTTCAATTTTGGCCAAAAAATTAAATTGCGCCAAACTTCCAGAAAAGACGCCTGAGGGACCCTACAAGACATTTCAACTCGATTTCTGGACAGATGTGCCGTTACACAGGAACAATGCGTCGAAAAATTGGGTCAAAATCAGTAAAAAATGAGATCATTTTTTTCTCAATCAATCGATTATTTGTGCCCAAATCTTCCAAATAATCGCAGTCTGAATATTGTGTGATACTCTCCTTGCATCAGTAGTCATTTCTGCGTCGTTTGGAGAAAAGTCATTTTTTGGCCAAATTTGATGAAAAATGTAAGGCCAACCCCTTGCAATTTTTTCAATTTTGGCCAAAAAATTAAATTGCGCCAAACTTCCAGAAAAGACACCTGAGGGACCCTAGAAGACGTTTCAACTCGATTTCTGGACAGATGTGCTGTTAGATAGGAAAAATGCGTCAAAAAATTGGGTCAAAAACAGTGAAAAATAAGATCATTTTATTCTCAATAAATCGATTATTTGTGCCCAAATCTTCTAAATAATCGCAGTCTGAATATTGTATGATACTCTCCTTGCATCAGTAGTCATTCCTGCGTCGTTTGGAGAAAAGTCATTTTTTGGCCAAATTTGATAAAAAATGTAAGGCTAACCCCTTGCAATTTTTTCAATTTTGGCCAAAAAATTACATTCGCCAAACTTCCAGAAAAGACACCTGAGGGACCCTAGAACACGTTTCAACTCGATTTCTGGACAGATGTGCTGTTAGATAGGAAAAATGCGTCAAAAAATTGGGTCAAAAACAGTGAAAAATAAGACCATTTTTTTCTCAATAAATCGATTATTTGTGCCCAAATCTTCTAAATAATCGCAGTCTGAATATTGTATGATACTCTCCTTGCATCAATAGTCATTTCTGCGTCGTTTGGAGAAAAGTCATTTTTTGGCCAAATTTGATGAAAAATGTAAGGCTAACCCCTTTTAATTTTTTCTATTTTGGCCAAAAAATTAAATTGCGCCAAACTTCCAGAAAAGACACCTGAGGGACCCTAGAAGACATTTCAACTCGATTTCTGGACAGATGTGCTGTTAGATAGGAAAAATGCGTCAAAAAATTGGGTCAAAAAAAGTGAAAAATAAGATCATTTTTTTCTCAATAAATCGATTATTTGTGCCCAAATCTTCTAAATAATCGCAGTCTGAATATTGTATGATACTCTCCTTGCATCAGTAGTCATTTCTGCGTCGTTTGGAGAAAAGTCATTTTTTGGCCAAATTTGATGAAAAATGTAAGGCTAACCCCTTGCAATTTTTTCAATTTTGGCCAAAAATTTTAATTGCGCCAAACTTCCAGGAAAGACACCTGAGGGACTCTAGAAGACATTTCAACTCGATTTCTGGCCATATGTGCTGTAAGATAGGAAAAATGCGTCGAAAAATTGGGTCAAAAAACAGTGAAAATTAAGATCATTTTTTTCTCAATAAATCGATTATTTGTGCCCAAATCGTCCAAATAATCGCAGTCTGAATATTGTATGATACTCTCCTTGCATCAGTAGTCATTTCTGCGTCGTTTGGAGAAAAGTCATTTTTTGGCCAAATTTGATGAAAAATGTAAGGCTAACCCCTTGCAATTTTTTCAATTTTGGCCAAAAAATTAAATTGCGCCAAACTTCCAGAAAAGACGCCTGAGGGACCCTACAAGACATTTCAACTCGATTTCTGGACAGATGTACTATTGGACAGGAAAAATTCGTCGAAAAATTGGGTCAAAAACAGTGAAAAATAAGATCATTTTTTTCTCAATAAATCGATTATTTGTGCCCAAATCTTCCAAATAATCGCAGTCTGAATATTGTATGATACTCTCCTTGCATCAGTAGTCATTTCTGCGTCGTTTGGAGAAAAGTCATTTTTTGGCCAAATTTGATGAAAAATGTAGGGCTAACCCCTTGCAATTTTTTCAATTTTGGCCAAAAAATTAAATTGCGCCAAACTTCCAGAAAAGACACCGGAGGGACTCTAAAAGACATTTCAACTCGATTTCTGGCCATATGTGCTGTAAGACAGGAAAAATGCGTCGAAAAATTGGGTCAAAAAACAGTGAAAAATAAGATCATTTT